TATTGTATTTCGGTATACTCATATGAGCTTATTTATACTAACTAATTTTAATGTAGTGGATGATAACAAGTAGGTGATATCAATATAATTATTTAAGAAATTAAGAGACGGGTCGATTATTCAGAAAAAGCATGCAGTATTTAAATCACTCAATCGCCGTCTTTTTAATTATTTAACTGTTTGGAATAATGTTTTTTTTTTTTTTTGGTTGTAAAATGTAAACTTTCATATATTACTTCAAGCACAAATCAACGTTACAACTCCACCTTCTATTCCAGAATTTCTAACACTGGTTAACACCCAATCTGGCTAGAAATCTTCTGGTTTCATAACTACATTTGATACTCCTAGACTCCACTTTCCATTTGATTTCTTGTTTGATCAATTCTGCCCTTCTGCTTGCTTCCCTTCAAATTTCTCATGTTCTTCTCACTCCATACATGATGTATCACTGCATTCCTGCTTGAACTTATTAAACTTCCAGATTCTGAGAGTATTGTTAATATTCATGGTGGTGATCTGGCTCATTACTCCCAGCCATTGCCTTACTTCTATCATCACTTCCTGCGCAAACTTGAACTGAAAAAATACATGCTGAATCAATTCATCCTCCTCCTTACATAGTATGCACTGTTGATCACTTATTTGCACTTGCAGTTTGTTCAACCTGTCAACAGTTAGGAGCCTCCCTTTCCATGCTAATCAACTAACGGAGCTCTGTTTAGGCACATTGAGGTTATTCCATACTACATCGGCTTCCTTCCTTCGTTCTCTAGATCCTTTTACATATCCACTCTGAGCTGTATAAGGTAGCCCGTAATTCCCAATCCACATTCCATTCTGAACTCCATCTTTCATTTTCTCCTTTGCTTTGATCAATTTCTTCCAATGCCAACTGCAATCATTTGGCACTTTATGCTTCCAAATGTTCTTTCCTTTCAAGTAATACATATGCATCCATTGAATCCATAAACTCTTCTTCCTTCTGGCCAAATTCCAAATTTGTTTCCCTCATTCTTTTTACAGCAGACTTCATCCCATGCATGCAACTAATGGCCAAACTTTCCTTGATTCCTTCTTTCCCCATAAGAAATCTCTGCACTTCCTAATGATCATCTGAATTACATTCTGTGGTAACAAGAAGATACTTGACCAGTAAGAATGTAAATTCAGTAATACTACATTGATCAAGAGGCTTCTTCCTGCCTAGGATAAGTTCCTTGATGTCCAACACTTCAGCCTGCACTGATTTTATCCACCATCACTCCATAATAATGTACTTTTTCGATAGACTAAACCTTTGAAGATTGGGCAACAGTGCATTTTATGTCTTGTTATTCATGATGTGCAATTTGTTTTTTGTATAATGATACTCGAATTCTCCGAAATATGCCTACCAGTTTACTTTTATTTAATTGGAACACTACTAGTCTTTTTTTTTTTTTCTTTTTTTGGAGTATGTAAGTATATAATACATTCGAACTCAATGAAAACAAAAATATTCAAGTTCTCACCCAAATTATTGATGTATATGAAAGTTATTCTCCAACTGAATGCTAGAAAAATGCTTTCTCTGTCACAAAAATTATTTCACATTGAGTTTGATGCTAAAAACAGTGTAAATTTTGAAATTCGATGTAAATTATTATTTTGGAATGATGAGAGTACATGTTATTTATTTGACATTAATATATTCTCACTCATTGCATTAGACATTCAAAAACTATTATATTTGGGGATGTATTTAGCCACCTGCACTAGTCATTGGAAAATTGTTTAATCATTTTCACTGACACATCAACTCAATATGCGAAAGTAAGAGTTTGGGAGAGATTGAGATTTGATTGTTGTTTCGTGTTGGGCATTCTTCAAGTAAAGTTCTGAATTAGTGATCTTTTTCTTGGAAAAAAAATAGTGGCATTTATAAAGAATAATCAAGCACTTGTAAATTATGTTGTCGTAGTAAATCCTCGATTAAAGTTAAAATAAAAAAAAAGTGATGAAAAAAGAAGAAGAAGAATTAATTAAGGCGGCGGGACGATCTAAACAAAATGCAAATGTTTAAAATTTTGTACAAACATCGAACAGTCACAATTTTCCATTTGGGGATTCGGCCGTGCTATTTCCTTATTATTTCCTCATAAACTACAACATGATCAGGAACAACTTTACTAACACTTGAGAATAGTACTTGTCTGAATGATTGATTACACACGAATCAACGTAAATTAATTAAAATCACAACCACCATACATTTATGCATGCATGCATGAAGAAATTCGATCCTCTCATGATTAAGCCTTCTTCAACACAAACGATAGCGGAACATCGGTCAAACCCAAACGTCTCTTCCCATCTTGAACAACAATCCCAACATTCTTACAAGTCGTTGCATTGAATGCGGGGGTAGGACAATGAACAAGCTTGTAGTCAGCAGCATTCATAATCTTGAACCAATTTCTTACCGTACTAGGCTCCGGATTTCCCCGTTGACCACCCGTCGCAAGAAGATAGTTCCCGGTCAAAGGGCAAATATCGATAGTCCACCAACTGGAGTTGGGACATCCAGCGGCATATGCTGTTGGAAACTCAATGTTGACATCATCCAAAACACGAACAACCCCTTTTTTATAATTCTTAGGATAAAACGAAACGGGAAGGCCTGGAACTTGATCCTCTAGTACGATGTCAAGTGGGCATGGCTTGTCGTCTAGGCTCTCTAGTTGTATACCGCCGGTGGTCCGGTTTTTTGGATATATGTAGTATCGAGTGCCTACTCGGAGTTTTTTCCCGGCAGCGTCAAACACCGCGATTTGGGCTGCCGAAGAAAATGTTGGAACGTTGGAAACAATAAAAAGGAACACTAGGAGTAGGAAAAAGGATAATGAGGACTTCATTTTTTGGATTGCTTTAGGTTTGGTTTCTGAAAGGAGGCGTATGAAAGTAGTAGACTAGTCAAGTAACGATGTGATTTATAGATAGACAGGAAGCTCTTGCGAGGCAAATAGTACCCTCATTTTTTAGAATATGTTTGGATGGTTTTTTGTCCGTTTGAATCACCTTTAAATTTGTATATGGATTTTGACTCGATTTAAATAAGCATCCAACAGTATATGAAAGTAGTAGACTAGTGAATTAATTAAGGTTTTAGATAAGGTTGTGATTTGATAAATAGCCAGCAAGCTCTTGCAGAGGCAATAGTACCATCAAATTTTACAATATGTTAATTAGATGGTTTTTGTCTATTTGAATCAACTTTAAATTTGCATCCGGATTTTGAGTCGATTAAAATAAATATCCAACAGTATGTATACGCATTTATGACTAGTGTAAGGCATATTGTCAAAGGTATATATAAGTATGTAAATATGTATTGTAGTGTAGGGCTGGGGCATATTAATCGTCAAACTTTAAACATTTTATGCTCCCTTTCTTCCAAAAAGTGTAACGATAAATAGTTTTGGTCTCAAAAAAATAGAATGAGATTATTTTGAAACAAAAGAATATTCAATACATTCGAAGTTGAAGTATTTATAGAGTTGTGAACTGGATGCTAGAAAACAATGTTCCCTAAATGTTTCTTTATTCTTTCCGCCCTTACGTACACGAGATTCGCTATTTGACTAGCTTGTCTTTTTATTTTTTGGGCCATTTACCATTCTTTTTTAATCCTGTTGTTTTAAATTCAAATAACACTTGCAGACTTGCTATAGAATTGTTAAGTCATTCTTACATGGAGATTTTATATTTACTGAATGGCAATATGATGGAAATGCAAGCCTAGCTATCAAGGCGTACATACTACTCTAGTGGTGGAATTATCCCACCTGGATTTTATTTTTATTTTTATTTTATTTTTTTGCTTACCCCTTCAAAACTTGGAATTTTTTTAAAGTACCACATTTTGCCCCCATCAAAATCGAAATTATTAAGTGGTAAGTATGTTGAATTAAAAGTTTTGAAAATTTTTTCCCTTCATATCTATGAAGCCTCCCTCCTGCCCCTGCTATCAAACACAAGATTGATGATGAATTTAGTGCAATTTTGTTAAACCATAAGCTCAAATTGATGCAAACATAGAATAAAAGAATAGTGTTGTGTGAGTGCGTGTGTGTGTGTGTTTTTTTTTAAACCTAACATTATTTACTGTCATATTTCACCATAAAACTTTTACCGTCTATAATTTTTCCAATAAACTTTAAACTTAAACGCCTTTTTTTTCTCTTTTCTTTTTATGAGATCAAAGGAGTGGGAACGGTGCTTTGATAACATATGAAATAAACTAAACTCTGGTACCTAATTTACCTTCATTATTTACCTTACAACTCTTAAATAACAATTCGTAAACTCTTAATATATATCACAGTTCTATTGAACTCTCACACCTCCAGAGTGGTGATAAAAAAATGATTTGGATCAAGGTCTCAAACTCAAATTGCCCACTAAACCTAGAATTCTTTATCACTTCAACTTTTTTTTTTTTTTTAAGGTTAGGGAGACCTTCCTTTTTAAACGTTGTCTTTTTTTCTTCTTTTTTTTTTTTATCACTTCAACTTTCGCAATTCACATTTTCTTCAAATTTTTGTTTGGTGCTTACCATGTTTTTCAGGATGGATCGCAATCAGATTCCAATGTGTTGATTATTAGACACGCTAGATTAAATATCAAGTAACGTTACTGTGCGGGTACGTAGGTAAACGCTTTTTAGATAAAAGAAAAAAGATGTCCTGTATTTGAAGTAGAAAAAGTTGTAATTGGAGTAGCTACTGCCGTATAGACTATATATAGTTAGTTGATCGTTTTACTACTACGTTCTTGAACATATGTTACTTTATTATTTGTACTTAAGAGCACCATACTTTATTGTTAAGATCAATGATTAAGATTCTAATTCACACGAAACATACGAATCAAGACACATGGATTCAAATGTAAGAAATTAATTAAGATTTATTTTTATTCATAAGATTGATAAAATGATAACTAGGGAATGGAGTTGTTCCCTTATTACACACAAAAAACAACTTGAGTAGCTTGACAGCATACTCTCCTTATTCTTAATTAAAACCAACAAATTAAACTTAAAGACAAAATATATAGCCTGCATGCATGCAAATATACTTGTCTTGTAATCCATTCCATGAGAAATTCAAATCCTCATTTATGCTTGCTTCAACACAAACTTCATTGGGATGTCGCTCAGAGCAAGGCGCCTCTTCCCGTTTTGAACAACAATCCCAACATATTTGCAAGCCGCTTTGCTAAATGTGGGACAGTAAAGAAACTTGTACAAGCCAGGGCCGTACGGTTCAATCTTGAACCAGTTTCTAATGGTATTAGGGCCTGGATTTCCTAGCTGCCCACCAGTTGAGAGGAAATAGTTTCCAGTCGAAGGACAAACATCAAAAGTCCACCAATTGGAGTTGGGGCATTTAGTCTTACAAGCAGTTGGGAATTCCACGTTAAGATCCGTGGAAACACGAACCACGCCTTTTTTGAGATTAATAGGATAAAATGACACAGGAAGTCCAGGCACCTGATCCTCTTGCACAATGTCAAGAGGGCACGGCTTGTTGTCTAGGCTCTCTAGTGTGAGGCCGCCGGTACTCGGGTATACCGGACATATGTAATACCGAGCACCGGATCGGACTATTTTCCCTTTAGCATCCAGCACCGGGTTTGGTGCTTCGGCTGCAAAAGAAAATGGAGGGTTGGAAACAGAAAGGACAACAAGAAAAAGTAGAACAAAAGCAGTTTTCATTGTCATTGATGGCTTCAGTTATAGGATTACTTGTATAAATTTGATTTGGAAGTGCAGAAGGGTTTGGGGAAGAGGGTACGTTTTTATACTAGTTGGTTACGACCCTAGCTTGCTAGACTGCTGGGGGCTAATTTTTTCTTTTTCTGAAGTTTCTAAACCTAAGTGCTGATTGTAGTGTTATTGTACCTTGAAATGGATGGAGTTTGACGCATTTTTCAGGAATTTCTTTTGGAAAGATATCCTGGTACACACAGCTTTTGACTTGTTTACTAGTTCATACTATAGTAGCTACCAAATTACCAGTAGTCAGCCTCTTTGATTTCTAAACCATTAATTAATTTGCCCGGAGTCATTCTCCCGGCTTGTTTTTGTTCTTGATTTAATCGACAGAATCTCCAACTGTACAAACTTTTTACAGTAGCTTTTTATGGATCCAGTGGTAGAACGTAAAGTTGTGTGCTAGCTTGTCTAGGATATGAAGTTGTGGATATAAAAAAACTTTCACTGGCTTAAGAGGGATATCAACGTGCTAATTCTGTATATCTCATGATTTCTGTACTAGTTAGAAAGGAAAAAGAAAATAGAATTTGCTAATGATCTTCTTCCCATAATAAAAGTCTTAAGTTTATCGAAATTTCAAAATAAAGATATTATTAATTAAATGAGTTTTTTTAATACTTAGAGAGAGAGAGAGAGAGAATATATATAGAGCAAAATTAGTTGTTTCAAATTCAGATATATCAGAAAATTTATTGAAAGAATACAAAGTATGTATCTATATGTAAAAAAATTCATTACTAAAAACTAAACTTCATCGTCATAGTTGGACGTAGACATAATAATTTAAGTTCGCCATTTGATTTTTGTGCTTAATGAAGAAAACTTTGTGTAGTTTGTGGTTATTGAAGCTATAATACATAATGGATAAAACGATTGAACCAATCAAATTATAAAATAAACGATTGAACCAATCAGTCGTAAACATGTTCCCACGAGTCACGTCTGCCAAATTTCTATAACAATATTAATAATTCAGACCCACTGGTAAATGAACTAAAATTATATACTGATTAAGTAATTTAAAATTAGTATTCAATAGTTTATCTTTAATAGCCTCACTTATTGAAAATTATCACCACTGTAGAAGTAGAGCTACTAGCCTATTTGTACCAAATAAAAAAATAAAAAAGCTACTAGTCTATTACTGCCAAGATTTTCTAAAGTAAACATGCATGCAAAACTGGTACGTACTTGTTCCCCAATGGAGTCAAAATCCATTTCTCAATCAATTCAGACACATACGTCAAATTCCATGGTAATTAAACTACATTAGATGGTTCAAAAATCATTATACATTGTAATGCTACCAACATAGCTTATATATTGATGAACTTTATGTACTAACTCATTTTTTTTACGCATCTGGATAAAACTTCCATACTTAGGGACGCGATTGAGTATGTAAAAGAGTTGAAGAAAGCTAGTGAAAGATATTGGGAATGAGCTTGAAGACAATTCAGATGATATGGATCCAATAAAATTCTGTGATAAGCAAGACTACTGTTATTAATATACTCCCTCTGTCTCAAAATTATTATCCAGTTTGATTTGAACTAGAAATGAAAACTCAAACTGGACAATAATTATGAGATGGAGCGAATATATATTTTTTTTTTTGAAAAATGCTATTAATATTTGTTGAGGCCCTGAATGAATAATATTGTTGAGGCCTTTACATTAGTATTATTATTATTACTTGGAAAGAAACCCGGGTTCTGGTTATTTTTTGAGTTAAAATGTATTTTATGCCGGAGCTTCCTCCCAAAAGTAGCCATGCTTTCCATTTGGATTGTATTGATCAATGCTTACTAATCTACAGAGCAATTATACTTTAAAACGGGACTTATATTTTATAATAATTGATTATTATTTATGCAATTATGTAAATGATAACATTAGAGCCGCTCGGGTGGAAGTCAGGACCAAGCATCTAGTTCATATATTTATTGAAAGAAGACAAATTAAGCGTGCATATGTAAATAAATTCGTTACTAAAAGTTAAACTTCATCTTCACAGTTGAATGTAGCTAGACTTAATTGTTTAAGTCCGCCATTTGATTTCGATGCTTATCAACTTTGTGTAATAGAAGCTAGAACACATAATCGATAAAACAAGTAAACCAATTATTCAAATCATAAAATATAAGGGAAAACTGAATGAGCCAATCAGTCACAAACATTGTCCTCACGAGTCACCTCTACCAAATTTCTATAACAATAAAATAATTTAGACCCATCGGTAAATGAACTAAAAAGATTATTTAACTAATTAATTTAAATATAGTATTCAATAATTTATCCTTAATAGCCCTCACTGATTGAAAATTATTACTACTACAACAAAACGTAGAGCTACCGGCCTAGTACTGCCAAACTTTTAAAGTATAAGCAACATGCATGCATGCAAAACTGGTACGTACTTTTGTCCGATGGAGTCAAAATCCATTAGTAAATCAATTCAGACACAAGCGTCAAACTCCATGGAAAAATCACCGGAGTTGGTACGATGAGCACTCAGTTTCTTCCCCATCCAAATCAAATGATATAGCCAGCTAACACTTTTGAGCAGCTATAAAATCACATTATCCTCCCAAACACTTCCTCACATCATTCCAAAAATCACAACTACATTGATCGATCAAAATGAAATCTGCATTCTTCTTACTTTTTCTCGTGGCCCTCTTCGTTTCCAACTCTCCATTTTCTTTTGCAGCCGAAGCACCAAACCCGGTGCTTGATGCTAAAGGGAAAATGGTCCGATCCGGGGCACGGTATTACATATGTTCGGTGTACCCGAGTACCGGCGGCCTCACACTAGAAAGCCTGGACAACAAACCATGCCCTCTTGACATTGTGCAAGAGGATCAGGTTCCAGGACTTCCAGTGTCATTTTATCCAATTAATCTCAAAAAGGGAGTTGTGCGTGTTTCCACGGATCTTAACGTGGAATTTCCGACTGCTTGTAAGACTAAATGTCCAAACTCCAATTGGTGGACATTTGATGTTTGCCCTGCGACTAAAAACTATTTCCTCTCAACTGGTGGGCAGCTAGGAAATCCAGGGCCAAATACGATCAGAAACTGGTTCAAGATTGAACCATACGGCCCTGGGTTATACAAGTTTCTTTACTGTCCCACATTTAGCAAAGTGGCTTGCAAATATGTTGGGATTGTCGCCCAAAATGGAAAGAGACGTTTGGCTCTGAGCGATGTTCCAATGAAGTTTGTGTTGAAACAGGCGTAAATGATGATTTGAATTTCTCACTCATGCACGGGATACATGCTTGTATTTGTGCTTATGTTTTTGAGCTTTTAGGAATAAGACAAGTACCTTGTCAAGTGTGATAATTTAGTTACGAATAAGTAACCTCCTCAAGTTGTGTACTTTGTTTGCAATAAGGGAATAACTCATTCCCCACTTATCAATATAAATAAAAGAAATTATCTTAAATATTCTGATGAAATATATATATATATATATATATATATTTATTGATGCATGCCCTGAAAATGTTAATATGTTCGTCTAGAATAAACCATCTTAATCCCCGTCCAAAGTGCTAAAATTGAGTGTTGCATTTAAATTAATTATTTTCCATCCAATAATGACATATTGAGACCACAAGTAATTACTTGTCCAGCACTGCGCTCCATTACAAGTGATGAAATGCACATTTAAGAACAGATTGATACTGCATCATTTGACCAAGGATATAAAAATTGTAGAAATAGAACTGAATATATATATATATATATATATATATATATATATACTTAAAAAGCCAACGAGATTACTTACCAATGACATGCTCAGATCTCATTAATAAAATTATTTAAAAACCCAATAAAGTAGAGATTATATTTTAATATTTTTTATGTTCCGAGTAATAATTTTATTTATTTTATTATTTTAATTCGACAAATATAACTTCTTTGGGACGAAGTGATTATTGTCTTTATTTTTATTTTTATTTTTATCTTTTGAAAAATGAAGAAGGGCAATAACATTTTTTACACATGCATAAATCTCTACCACACCTTAAACATCTAAATGACTCGACTTAGAGAGTTATCACTAGAGTAGGATAGATGCAAACCATGTACTCCCTCCATTTCAATTTGTAGGTCATTTTAACTTTGGAGAGATTTTTCAAAATGTAAGTCGTTTTATAATTTTTAGGCAAATTAATGATTATTTTTCTAACTTTACCCTCAATAAATGATGCCAATATATTTCTATTTAGTCTTATTTATAATTTTAATGTAATTAATGAGGGATAAAATAAATATTTAACACATAAATTAATTGTTAGATGATTGTCTCCTTAGTTTATGTGCAAAGGCTAAAGTGACTTATATTTTGAGATGGAAGGAGTATCTTCCTCCAATATCTCTAGCAGTTACCCCACTCGAAACATAAATTCCGGTGCTCTAGAATTTACTGTATCTTCTCAACCGCAAGCTCCTTTACTTCAGGATTTACTGCCAATTACGGCCCCGAAAATGTACTTGTCCAAAGATGATTCGGAAATTGGAAAAAATACCGAGAAGTTTTTCCCAAGTTATTCGATTGAAGAAATAAATTTTGAAGACGGATTAAATCATGCTTTCAATGGTTCTGATGATGACGATTTTGATATGGAGTATTCGATGGAACAAGAGTCCTTTTACAGTGAAATTTCTGCTCCAACTTTTCACAATCATTCGAAAAAGCCGAGGCTAAAAAGAAAGTTCAAGTTCGTCGGTTTGCTAGATTAAACAAGAATTAAACTTTAGTTTAATATTAAAATTATATTTGATATAGGATTAGTATATTCACTGCCGTATTTTTTCTTAATTATTAATAAAATTGTTTTTTGTTTTTTTTTTTAAACGTATTGAAGGGTAGATGGTCAACTGCCATTATCATCCCAATTATAGAGGTAAGCTTTGTACTTAAATTAGCTGTCTTCAATTAATCAATGAAGTAAGAAACGGTCATCTATCAGGTTTTGACAATGGAAATTCTCAAAATCAAACAATCACCGGGACCGATTAAAAAAAAAAGCCACATTCTCAGTCAGATCCACGGTTTTGCAATGAGAGAATGAAAAGTCAAGCATTGGGATAAATTTGAGATTAATTAACTAATAAATCTTTCCGCTAGTTTTCGTCGACCACACGGTATTATGCACTTTCCAACCTAAAACAATATCATTATCTACCTCGATAATACACCAATGATTATCCATGATTTATATCATCTTGAATTCTTGATAGTACAAAAAAGTTGATAAGTAGTACGTACGTACAACAGTCAAAACATTTCACTTAAGCAACGAGTCAACCGTACGTACTACTTTTACCAATGGATCCATTAGAAAATTATGGAAGCATTGGCCTTTTTGGAGCCGAATCAAAGAACAAAAAGAAGCCAATAGAATTCTTTTCGGAGCAAAAAGATATGTGTAGTAGCTAGGATTTTTTTTTGCAAATTGCAATAGAAAAATTCCGCAGGAATATGTCAAACCATCCAAAAATCTCTTGAAATTGGGAGTTTAATTGTAAGCTAAAATTCACCTCTTTGTTACCCAAAAAAAAAAAAAAAATCACCTCTGCCCACTGCTCTTCCACATCGATCGTCATTACAAGCTCACTAACATTCATAACTAAAGTTAAAACTATTAAAAACTAGAGTTATTAATTAATATATGTGCATTAATAACCCAACAGGGGGGCGGGAACGACCTTCGGGTTCGGCGGATCTTATATTATAGATATACGATGTGCATTTATCTTTTTGGTTCTGGGTAGATCAAAATTGAATTAGAGACTATAAATTACACGATAACGTTATGTACCAAAAGAATGTTTTTGTTACTTTCCCTGTCTACTCCTTAATTTAGTAATCAAATCAACTTGAAGAGTATATTCGGTAAAACAATCTTGTTTGTTATAATATTTCAACTAAAAAATTGGCCTTTTTTTTAAAAAAAAAAAGTGTTTTGAGAAGAGTATGTTTGAAGATTTTGGTTGCTTAGTTATGTGGATTTTATTATCGTAAATTTGTGGTGATCATTCTTTTCAAGAAAACTGATACAATCAATACTTATTATTATACTTTTAACAATACTTAGTGAGATGTGAGTCTGATGTGCAACATGTAAAAATACATATCGCCCTTTATCATGTTGGTGGTTATAAAAATTCAATTTTTGATTGATATCTTCATCATTTATTTGTAAATTGTTACTATCCTATTTCACCCTGAACATTTTCATGGTTGTATAATCACTTTCTAAACTTGGTGAAAAGTAAGTAAAACTTATCGTTACGGCCATTCACACGAAAGATGTTAACATTCGAAATGATAATAATGAAAATTCCAAAGATAAAAAATAAAAAGTAAATCTATTAAAGTTAAAAAAAGGAAAAAAAAAAAAAAAAAGCTTGCAATTGCCATTGAGTAGTCAATCACATTTGAATACGAAAACAAGCCAAATTAACAAAAGGTACACAATACGTGTAACATGTTCATCATTTCATAACTAGACTACAAAACGAAATGTAACCTCAAAAGGAACATCACTTAGAGCCAAACGCCTCTTCCCATTCTTATCCTTAACAATGCCAATGTCCTTACACATGACTTTGCAAGTTTTGCAAACCGAAGGACAGAATCTAAGCTTGTATGCAAGTTTAGTCTTCTCAATCTTGAACCAATTGTTTACAGTTTGAGGACCAGGATTCCCTACAACACCTCCAACACCCACATAATAGTTTCCGGTCAACGGGTCCTTCTCTTGAACCTTCCATACTAGTGAAGAAGTACAATCCTCACTTGCGTCGAGGAATCCGATGTTGATGTCCGAAGAAGTCCGAATAACACCCTTTTTCATGTCTAATGGATTAAAGGATAGCAGGCTTTCGCGTTTGAAATGTGTTGCATTATTTTCTTGTATGTTTTCCTGGATAACATGAGGAGGGCACGTTTCATTTGATAAAAGGACACCGTCAATTTCCGAGCCGGAGATGACGGCCGGCAAAATGAAGTAGCCGGGAATTCGTCCGCGAAGCTCCTTTCCGGCTAAATCACGCACAGCGGGAGGCTGAGACTTGGCGGAGCAAATGCACAAGTTTGTTTGTTGGAAGATTATGAAGATAAGGTAGGAAAACCCAAAGAGAACTTTGTTCTTCATTGCAACCACTAATTCTCAAGTGTTTGTTTTTCTCGCTTTCGATGGAACGATTTGATGTAATTTCGAGTTGATGATTTTAGTATAGAATAGCAAGTTTTTATAGGGAAAAGAGTGGGTACAATATATTCTCTCCGTCCCGAAATTATTATCCAATTTAGGTTTTCATTTTTAATATAAAATGAACTAAAAATGAAAATCCAAACTATTGAAAAGTTTAACTACTGAAAAGGAGATTAAGTTAATTCCAAATGGTTTTAAATTTACTCCCATTGGATCTATAGGTTTGACTTTACTTACAATCTTACATTAATTGAATGAGACAGTCTGTGAGTCCATTTTGTCATTGCGAAACCATGGATGCCTTTGAAGTGTGGCAGTTTTTCTAGTCGGTGACTTTTAGAGAATTTATTTATTTATTTTTAGGTCGAAGACTTTTAGAATTTTCATGGTCAAAGATGACCGTTTCTAACTTCATTATTGAAGAGACAACCACAGATTTGGCTACCTAATTGGGATAATGGCAGTTGACCATATATCCTTAAGTACGTGGATACATGATTGCTACTCAACTAAGAAGTACTCCTCTCGTATAAAAATAATCTACATTATAATTCGTAAAATATGCTATTTGTTATACAATTTGCAAATTGCGATATTATGTTTTGGGTTCGTTGGATATATTATAGCATCAACGCAAAATGGAAAGTTTTTTTTTTTTTAAATTAACATCTAGTGTTTATAACTCCCTCCTCCTTAAAGTCATATTATAATTTATTGAATTAAAAAGATAAAAATTTATTGAATTATTACTTTGAGATAGATAAAGTATGGCATATTCACCTTAGAAATTTTTTTTCCATCTCTCTGCTATTTAGTTTAACCACTATTACAACAGTAACATAAGTATGTAGATTTCTTTGTTTCGAAACCAATAACACGACTTATTAAGAGACAACGCTAGCCAGTAACACTGGTAAATTATTGTAAGGAATTAATTTTACGTATATGCAATCTAAGAAGACAAAACCGTCATCACCCTCGAATTGATTTCTAAAATTTCCCGATATCAATTTCCGGAGGATTCAACCACCGCCTTTCCCGGACTCCTTTTTTTATCCAGCATCCTTTTAGGAATATGTCTTCCTCCTTCTCAGTTTCAATTTTTTTTTTTTTTTTGGTTAAATGTATTAGTTTGCGAAGATTGTGGTGGAAATGAGACATAACGAGCATATGAACACATTGTGATCGTTGATGGTGGACTATAAAGTATGTGAGTATGAACTTGGAAGTCATTGCCATGTTGAAGATTTCAATCGAAACAAATTTGTATGGCAAAACTGAAAGAACATTAAAATAAATTTATCAATCCTCATCACTTGAGATGGAACATTCTCCACAACAATAACATTTAAATATGCATCATAACCAATTCTAAGGGTAAAAGCATCCATGGACAATATTACTGCAACTAAATTCATGCTGGGAGATCTGGGTTTTTTCCTTTGAGGTCCAAGAAATGGTCACTCCACGCAAATAAACAGAAAAATATTCAGTATAATTGAGTTATTAACTAGTGAACTATTTTTCTGAAACAGAGGGATCGGAATAAAATTGTTTAGTAACCAATTTTTCCAAAAAAAAAAAGAAAAAACAAAACAAAAACCATAGCGCTTGACATTATTTTCTTTGAATAATATGAGGGACTAACATGAAAACGTACACTTGACAACATTTTGTCTTACACTAAACAAAACTTAACTTAAGCACAATCGTACATGTTGTGCACGCAACAACGTGGAAAAAAAAAACATGCATCTAACCAAATATAACCTCAAAAGGAATATCACTTAGAGCCAAACGCCTCTTCCCATTCTGATCCTTAACAATGCCAATGTCCTTACACATGACTTTGCAAGTTTTGCAAACTGAAGGACAGAATCTAAGCTTGTACCCAACTTTAGTCTTCTCAATCTTGAACCAATTGTTCACAGTTTGAGGACCAGGATTCCCTATAACTCCTCCAACACCCACATAATAGTTTCCAGTCAAGGGATCCATGTCTTGAAGCTTCCATACTAGTGAAGAAGAACAATTGTTGTCGCCAAAGAATCGGATGTTGACATCGGAAGAAGTCCGAATGATGCTCTTTTTCAAGTCCAATCCAGTAATAAGAAGTGGTGTTCCATTTTTGAATTCCGCGCTTTCTTGAACGTTATCTTGGATGACCTGAGGAGGGCAATCTTTTGATAAAAAGACGCCGGCGAGGTCCGGGCTAGAAGTAATGGCCGGCAATATCGTGTAAGTTATGGCATATCCGATGCCTCCCCGGAGCTCCCTCCCACGGACATCACGCACCGCCGGTGGCGCTGAAGTCGCCGAGGAGAAGATTAAGTTTGTGTGGAAGATTATGAATGCTAGAAAGGAAGTGGCAAAGAGAAGTTTGTTATTCATTGCAAGGAATAACTAAATTCACAATAGTTTTTTTTGCTTTTCTTTGGTTTTGGATGTATGATTAATTGATGTAAATGGAATTGAATGATTTAAGTATGAAATGATTGGCTTATTTTTATAGGGGAAATAAGTGCATACTACCACATACTAGACATGGTGGAAAGATTTAATTTATTCCAATAGGATGAAGGTTGACTTAAGGGATAAGATATTCGGTTTCTATATGCGACTTGGCTGTCATTGTAATTTTATATATTCCGCAGAATAGAAGTTGGACTTTGAGAATTTTGATTGTCAAATTCTAATGGACGACCGTTTCAAATTTCATTCACTGAAGAGCTGATGTAGCGAGCGGAAGCCTATATCTCGAAACCTTAACAAGTATCTCGTCATAAATCCATTGATTCAACGAATACTCGGAAATACGATCTTCCTAAATCTTGTTGATTCTGAGAATACTCAAAAATAGGGACCAAAATTCAACACTTTGGAATTTTCTGAAATGAACTCTCAATCTTTATAAAAATAAAAAACTGATGTTTACAATGACGGCTAAGGTCTTAAATAGAAAACAAAAAAAAAACCCTATTCAACTAAATTAAAATGCCAAAAATATCATTGGACAAAGAAATTAAAACCCTATTCTATATTTATTCCGTCCTTCATCATTCTCCCCGGGTTAGAAAAACTCGTCCTTGGGTTTAAGTGTAGGTTTGCCACGATCGAAAGGAAAGTCAGTTAAAAGTTGATGTTGACAAGGACAAGGATGCAGGAACAATTCACTAAAAGAAATTAAAAAGATGTCCCAGACCTAAATGACTACTTCTTGCAAACGATATAAATCATCAAATGGAAGAGTAAGAGAATCACCAAATGGTGCCATGGCAACAGAAAATCGTCCCCTAGGCGGCGCAACACAAAACATGTGAACTGGAGCAATAGAAGAACAAGAATGGCCAGGAATAGCAAATGTTTCATTCACCACAAAGGGAAAAGAATTAACCAGTGGTGAAAGGCACGGTTCCTCCGCAACCGCAGTTCCCAAAACCACACCAGAAGAAACTGGACCAACAATGATGTCCTCATTTACAGCCGACAAGTGTGGAGATTTTATACTGTCATCAGAGTTCACATCGTCGTCAATGTATTTATCGAACACAGGAGGACTATCCCAATCAATAGTACGCTCCCATGGGTCATCATCTGATTCAAGAGCAAAAATATCATAACCAAAATCAGACTCCGATTCCTGATTATTCCGAGTCAAAAAACGCTCATCAAATAGTCGTTCCCATCTCATCCTAAAGGTCTGGATTTCATCTCGCACCATTTGTCGGAAGTGAAGCACAATATCATCTTTGACTTGAACTAGTTGTTGCAGCAACTGCTTTTGCTTCTTGTCACAAACATAATCTCTATAGTGGGGAAGCGGTGACGACGTCTTGTGCATTGGATTCCTTGGCTGAAGAGCTGATATAGCGAGCGGAAGCCTATATCTTGATTCCTAGTTCATACTAGCTTGTAGCTAGCAAAATACTAGCCAGCTTCGTTGTTCTTCAACTATTAATTAATTGCTCGGGAATTCATTCCATTGCCTTTTTTGTTCTTGATTTAATCGACAGAATCTCCAACTGTACCAAACTTTTACACGTAATCCAAGCTGCACCACTTCTCCCATGAAACTCCTCTGCAACTTATTCACTTTGATTAATGGTTAAAATATTCTTTGGAATATACTTCACAGTGCAAGATTTTTTTTTATCAAGTAAGAAATAAGAAAGTAGTTACAGAATGATGAATAGAATTTAAAACATAATTGATAAAGATCATACTGAATAGAATTTTAGATATGATCAAAAAATCTCTTACCTGACATAAAGACCGAAGACGATGTCATGACCAAGACGCCGATAAAGAGACCGCTTTAGAGTTATTTCAATTTTTGGTGATGATGCTGACCTATTTTTTTTCACACAGAGTTATTTAAATCTGTTTTTTTTTTTTTATGATGAGTCATAAATAAACCCTAACCCTAATGGATTTAGGCCGGCTACTTTAGAGGCTAAATCACCGTCTAAACCTATTACGATTAGGTTTAAAGAAACAGTAACACTACCTCTATATAAAGAGGTGGTGTCTCTCCCATAATTCATATCTTCTACACATCTTCTACTCTTTCTACATACGAAACACATCCCTCTCTCTGTATTTTCTTTATTCCTTTATTGACTGAAGTATCGGAAAGTCTACCCTCGCGAGACACCGGATGCTCTGTCTTGCAGGTTTTAGGCCATCCGCCGCTGCCTAGATCATCATCGCTGCCCTCCTAAGCACCGAACAAATCCAGACTTCGTCAGTTGAGCTCGCAATGAAAAAATTTTTGTGCAGTAAATTGGTGTTCAAAAAGATGAGGATTTGGAGGTCTTTCAGATTTGGAAGTTATTTTTACAATGGGATGAGAAATAGTTATGGCAAGATGGTGTGAGTTTTGGGAAATAATGACAAGTATAAATTTGGGGAAAATTTTAAGGAAAAAATGACATTTGGAATTTCGGTTAAAAGTAGTTTTTGTTATAATGGGGTGTATAGATAGATTTCATCTATTGGTTTCATTTTGCCCTGCATTTTTGCAATTTGCTGTCTAATTAACCTTGATAAGGGTTAAGAGTTATGTTTTGGGATGATTTTGGTGGGCTTGTAGTGCTGAACAATTTCACAAAATTTGCTTGTTTGTTTATATTAGAGATAATATTCACAAATTGATTTACATTGGACACTTGATTGAATCGATACAAGGTAAAACATTTTGAGCCCTCACGAGTAAGATTTGCTATAATTTATCACAAGTAAAAATAGCAGCACGATGGTGATTAGTGATATGTAAACTTCTGTTACTTTGTATGTTGCATTGCCTAGTTCGGTGAATTGAAAGGATTTAGTCATGTACATTTGAGTCTAAATAAATAGCTCTTCTTTGCTTCTGATCCTTGATCGATCATATGTCTGTTGTTGAAAAGAGTAGGCATGGCATTAGCAACAGCAGAAGCCTGCTTTACCAACGCGGCACTTCTGGCGAGAGGTGACTGGTGAGTTACGGGTACTGCAACCCATATTCCAGATTTATGGACAATGTCGTTCCTTCTCGGGGACTGTTGTGACTCTGAAAAGTGTTTTTAGGATAATGCCTCTGATGTTTGAGTTAGAGCATTGGCGCCGCATCCCCAGAAATCATACAAGAAAGACGTCCGGGGGAAAAAGAGTGTATGTTTATGTTGGAGGAGCCTTGATTAGAATATGCTAACAATAATGATATTGTTTCAAGGACAGAGCTTTCTGTATCATTCGAATGCAATTGCAACTTTTGCAATTTCAAGGAAGTATCATAATTTGTGATTATTACCCCATAAAATGTTGAACATTTTTTTCCCTTAAAGGATCATGTTTTAATGATCTGAAAAGAAGGAAAAAAAAAAAAAGCTACTGCAGTGGAAAAGAAGATGCTTTAGGAACTCCATCTTACCAAAGTTGAGGATAAAAGTGTGAATGGAAAACTGTCCCGGTTTGATAAAATCAGGTTATGAAATAATAATAAGGTTAATTACTTTAATTTCATCTTGGTAACTGTTTTTAAAAAAATAAAAATAAAAAGAATCTTAAGTGATTAGCAGGTGACCAATTAATATAGTTTTGATGTGGTATTGCACACCAATTAATATAAAACAATTAAACCAATCATTTATGGTGTGTCTTACTTTTATTGAATATATTTGAACTGTATGGTTCAGTAAAAAATTTATGACTACACTATAGAATTTTCCTATATATATATATAGACACATATATAGTAGAGCTAATAAAGAGCACAAAGATAAATTTTTTTGGTTATTTCAAATTCATATATTTATTGAAAGAAGACAAATTAAGCGTGCGTATATGTAAATAAATTCGTTACTAAAAGCTAAACTTCATCTTCATAGTTGAACGTAGCTAGACTTAATTGTTTAAGTCCGCCATTTGATTTTGATGCTTATCAACTTTGTGTAATTTGACGTGATAGAAGCTAGAATACATAATCGATAAAACAATTAAACCAATTATTCAAATCATAAAATATAAGGGAAAACTGAATGAGCCAATCAGTCACAAACATTGTCCTCACGAGTCACCTCTACCAAATTTCTATAACAATAAAATAATTTAGACCCATCGGTAAATGAACTAAAAAGATTAGCTTACTAATTAATTTAAATTCAGTATTCAATAATTTATCCTTAATAGCCCTCACTGATTGAAAATTATTACTACTACAAAAGAAGTAGAGCTACCGGCCTAGTACTGCCAAAACTTTTATATAAAGTAAAAGCAACATGCATGCATGCAAAACTGGTACGTACTTTTGTCCGATGAAGTCAAAATCCATTAGTAAATCAATTCAGACACAAGCGTCAAACTCCATGGAAAAATCACCGGAGTTGGTACGATGAGCACTCAGTTTCTTCCCCATCCAAATCAAATAATATAGCCAGCTAACACTTTTGAGCAGCTATAAAATCACATTATCCTCCCAAACACTTCCTCACACATTCCAAAAATCACAACTACATTGATCGATCATAATGAAATCTGCATTCTTCTTACTTTTTCTCGTGGCCCTCTTCGTTTGCAACTCTCCATTTTCTTATGCAGCAGAAGCACCTAACCCGGTGCTTGATGCTAAAGGGAAAATGGTCCGATCCGGTGCACGGTATTACATATGCCCCGTATTCCCAAGTACCGGCGGCCTCACACTAGAGAGCCTAGACAACAAGCCGTGCCCTCTTGACATTGTACAAGAGGATCAGGTCCCAGGACTTCCAGTGTCATTTTATCCTATTAATCTTAAAAAGGGCGTTGTTCGTGTTTCCACGGATCTCAACGTTGAATTTCCAACTGCTTGTAAGACTAAATGTCTAATTGGTGGACATTTGATGTTTGCCCTGCGACTAAAAACTATTTCCTCTCAACTGGTGGGCAGCTAGGAAATCCAGGGCCAAATACAATCAGAAACTGGTTTAAGATTGAGCCATACGGCCCCGGGTTGTACAAGTTTCTTTACTGTCCCACATTTAGCAAAGTGGCTTGCAAATATGTTGGGATTGTCGTCCAAAATGGGAAGAGACGTCTGGCTCTGAGCGATGTGCCTATGAAGTTTGTGTTGAAGCAAGCTTAGATGATGATGTGAAGCCCTCATGCATGCAAGATAAAAATGCATGTATTTCGCTCGTAAGTTTGTGTGTTTTAGGAATAAGACAAGTATCTTGTCAAGTGTGATATTTAGTTTCGGATACTTAATTAACCTACTCAAGCTGTACGTTGTGATCAAATAAGGGAATAACTCATTCCCCACTTATCTTATGAATGAAAGAAATTATCTTATTTCTTATGAATGTAGGCCTGCGTCTATATATGTGCTTAATTTCTTAATTTGTTCGTGTAAAAAGCATCTTATTCTAAGTCCCAAAATGTTGAAACCAAATTTTCATTTAAATAATTTCTTTTCCATCTGACTTTGACCAAATTAATTGACTTCCACATGATACCACGAGCGACTTCTCCAAAATCCAAATGAAATACGCATTTAATTTGATGTACATTAAGTTCCGCTTGGTTGGGAGATGTATAAAACCGTTTTAGGGCCAACCAACACAAATCGAACTTGCGAGAACTGAAGCAAGTGCACACTAACACCTGTGGATTATTTTGAGGCTTTTTATAATTATTATATGACCCAACGTTAGGGAAAGGTCGTTTATACTGATGCGGACAAATTTGTTTCTATCGAAATTTCAAAGTTCTCTAAACATTTCATTAGGTCGATCGGTATCAATTCTCGAACGAAAATCTTTTATGCAAGCACCAAAAAGTACATGCTTAGCGAGGTAAATTGCACCGAGAGGGGCTTAATTGTAACTGAGTTTTCGTGTGCTAGCTGACGGCTGGGTCTTAAACATACAAAATAGTGCTACATAATATGACCAGGTATATGTCAAAACTGTAAAAGTAAAACTGAATACTATTCCCTCTTCAAAAAAAAAAAAAAACTGAATATATTAGAGAGCAAAAAAAAAAACCAAAAAAATTTAAATATTAATGACATTTTAAGATCTCATTAAGTAATAAATTCAAGATTTTTTGGATATCCTCGCTTTGTTCCAAGAAAATAATCTAACTGGTTTTTAAAATTTATAATTTTTTATACAAATTTCAAAATTGTGAATAGTATTTTATATGTTCCAAATAATAGTTTTGTATATTGTATTGTTTTATTATGACAAATGTGACTTTTTCTAGGGTGAAGAAATTTATTAATGTTTTCTTCTTCTTTTTTTTATAGAATGGAGACTATTGCCTATTTCACGCATACATAATCTTTACCCTAAAAGAGATTTTTTATTTTTTTTTTTTCAATTAAAGGAGGCTCATGCCTTCCAAATAAATAGTCACATTCCGAAATAAGAAATCTGATTATGTTGTAACTAGGATCTAACTCATCGAGTGGGCTTCGAACCATTGTACTTCACCAGAACTCTCAACGGCAATAATATTAGATAATCTACTACAAATTTAACTTTTCAAACCTCATCTTAAATATCAACAACCCACTCACGCTCCAAAAACTGTCAAATTCCTCCCACAACAACCGAACCAAACATCGTCTCATTACTCTTAATCATCGCAATAATGCTTTGACTATACATTTCAGTTATCACCTTACTATAACCTCTCTTTCAAACAAGGTATAGCGCCTAAAATCACCCTATAATTTCGCTCTAGTAATACAACAAAATCCTATGTTCATTCTAAACCCACCTAACCACCGTCCATGACAATCCCTAGTCACACTACCAGCACCAGTCACACGGTTGAAACTACCATCAGAGTTTACGTTCACGTTTACTTTCGCCCATTCTGTCGGCGAAAGAGACCAAGGATTACTTTTCACCCTGAAAGAGATTTGTTGTCTAAACCTCGAAAACATCAATTTAGAGACTTAACAGTAGAATAGGATATGTTAATGAGATCATATGTCCACGTAATGAAGGATAGATGGTCAACTGTTATTATCATCCCAATTATATATAGATGTCAACTATCTGGTTAAGCTGTCTTCAATCAATGAAGTTAGAAATGATCATCCAATAGGTTTTGACTATCAATATTTTTTCTAAAAAAAAAAAAGTGCAACAATCATTGTATCGAATATTAAAAAATGCAATTTTTTCAGTCAGATCCATGATTTTGCAATGACAGAGACACACAATCTGAATATCTCATTCCATGTAAAGTCAACCTATATCCAATGGGAACAAAAATTTGATACCATTTGGAATTAATTAACTAAATAAATCTTTCCGTTGGTCTACCACACGGTATTATGCACTTTCCCCCCTAAAAAACTAGCATTATCTAGCTACCTCGATAGGACAACAATGATTAATTTTTCCATGATTATATTCTTGCATTATCATCTTGCTGATAGTACAAAATGTTGTTGATAAGTACGAACACCACAATCAAACAATTGACCTAAGCAACGAGTCCACACGTTCTACTTATACCAATGGACCATTAAAAAATAATCCTTTTGGAGCCGAATCAAAGGAAAAAAAAAAAAAAAAAAAAACAAAAAAAGCAATAGAATTCTTTCCCGAGCAAAGACATGGATGCACCAGCTGGGATTTCTTAGCAAATTGCAATAGAAAAAATCCGGAGGAATATGTCAAATTACACCATCCAAAAATCTCTTGAAATTAGGACAATTAGCACACAGTTTAATTGGAAAGAAAAGATTTACCTCTGACTTCTCTCCTAGCTATAAAACCACCCTCCTCTCAAACTTTTTTCAATGCACTTCCGCATCGATCATCATAATTTCACAAATCACAAACATTCACAACTAAAGCCATCTGTCAAAATGAAAACCGCTTTTTTCGTAGTTTTTCTTGTTTACCTTTTTGTTTCGGACCCACCATTTTCTTCTGCAGCTGAAGCACCAAAGCCGGTGCTTGACACTGCGAAGAAATCGGTCCGGACTGGAACTCGATATTTCATTTTTTCAGTATTCCCAAGAACCGGCGGTCTCACACTAGAGAGCCTAGAAAAGCCATGCCCTCTTAGCATTGTGCAGGAGGATAATCTAGGTTATTCCGTGTCGTTTTCTCCAATTAACCCTAAAAAAGGCGTTGTTCGTGTTTCCACTGATCTCAACGTTGAATTCAATGTACCTACCAATTGTTCCAGTTCTACTTGGTGGAACATTGATATTAGCCCTTCTACTGGAAACTATTTCCTATCAACAGGGGGAAGCCAAGGAAATCCAGGCCCTAATACGGTGAGAAATTGGTTTAAGATTGAACAGGATGGTCAGCAGCAGACTGGCGGCAATTTGTACAAGTTTGTGTATTGTCCTACATTTAGCAAAACAACCTGCAAAAATGTAGGGATTGTTGTTCAAAATGGGAAGAGACGTTTAGGTCTGACAAATGTTCCCTTGCAGTTTGTGCTGAAACAGAGTGAGATGGTTTAATTTCTCATGTATTCATGATCACATGTATGATCATATAATTAATGTGTTTAAGTTTGTGTCGTTTTCATGCTACATTCTCTTTTTGAAATTACTACCATTATTAATTGTTTGTATTTGAGCCCAGCAAGTCCATTTCAAGAGTAATAAGCATTCAAGTTTGTCTAGAAAGTCTTTTAATTATTAAATAGTGTTCTTGATTATCTTGTTAAGTTCCGGATGCCAAAGCTTTTTCAAGGTGTAATGACGGTTTGCTAATTCTTCTGTCCTAAAATGATTCAATTTGAATATTATTCATTTATAATAAAAAAAGTATTTAGAATAAACTTTAAATAGGAAAATCGTTGTGGGACATAGGGAACCCAAGGAAAATAATTCATTCACAAAAGTTAAAGTTACAATTATTCAAAACTATAAAGGTATTATATATGCGCATTTATCTTCTTGGTTGTCGAGAGATCAACACTGGATTAGAGCCTAAAAATCAAATAAAAACGTGATTTACCGAGAGGACGTCTGTCGAGTATATAAGGATCGAAAAATACTGAACTGCCTTATGAACTGAAGAATACTTTTTGTATTTGTGGTACAAAGTAAGAGTCGCTGGTTAATTAGCTTGGACTGGAAATTAAACTTACACAGTAAAATAACCAAGGCTGACTTTGAACAAATTATTCCTTCACACCAGAAAATTACACCTTTTTACTTTTACGTATAGTTTTGTCCAGGCCAAAATTAATTCTCTGGAGTCTCTTTTTTTTTTTTTTTTGCACGTACGTAAGTGGCGTGAATTAATTCTGGAGACTTATAATTGTTCGATTTATGTGATTTCTCTTAATTTTTATTTTTAATTTATTTCTGTTATTTCCTATTCCACATATGCACTTCGTAACTTAAATAACAAAACTTTAGAAAATCAATTTTTATAGAATATTCATCCAAAATCCAAATAAAAGAATCTTGTTTCGACTTATATTTCAAACAAATATATTAACGAGGTTCCTTTTTTAAAATGTATTTTTGAGAAGCGTGAACTTTATTGACCTTAAAAGTTGAAGATCTCGGTTGCTTAATTATGTGGTTTTTTTATTGGAAATTTTGGGGATCATTTTTTAAAGGGCAATGATGCATCAAGTATTTATTTATTTTTAGAATTCAACAGTAAAATGCAAGTGTGATATGTGGTATGTATAAATGCACATAGCCCTCTATGTATTGGTGGCTATAAAAGTTTTTAATTTTTGATTGATATGTTTTCTCATTTCATTAATTACTACTCCCTCCGGTCCTTATTATAAGGCATATTGATTTTGTCCTAAATTTAACTTAAGATGTCTTTTTCATCGAAAAAAATTTTAAAAATATATTTTCACACTCGTTGTATTCTCCTAATTACTATGAAATATTTTTAAGGTTTTTATTCTAATTAAAAAAGTATCTTAGGTGAAATTTAGGACGAAATTAAATGTTTTATAATAAGAACCAGAGGGAGTATCTTATTTCACCGTAAACATACTTCTTTGGTTGTACTACTACTATAACTCTTTCTTAGAAATAAAGTTAATGAAAAGTAATACTCTCTCTCAAAATAATGGTCTTCTTTGGATTTTTCTTAACACAATTTGAATTAAAACTGAAAATTTAAATTGAATAATTATTTTCGGATGATGAAGTAAAACTTATCATCACGACAATTTCACACGAAAGATGTTAACATGCACAAGAAAAATAATAAAAATTCCAAAAAAAAAAACCGAAAACAAAACAAAACAAAATTAAAATTTAAAAAATGAGCTTACAATTGCCACTAGCAATAGAATGCCAAAACAAGCCAAATTTAACAAACCAATACATTTTCATCATTTCATAAATAGATAACGGAATGTAACCTCAAAAGGAACATCACTTAGAGCCAAACGCCTCTTCCCATTCTTATCCTTAACTATGCCAATGTCCTTACACAAGACTCTGCAAGTTTTGCAAACCGAAGGACAGAATCTAAGCTTGTAACCAACTTTAGTCTTCTCAATCTTGAACCAATTGTTTACAGTTTGAGCACCAGGTTTCCCCATAACTCCTCCAACACCCACATAATAATTTCCGGTCAAAGGATCCTTATCTTGAAGCTTCCATACTAGTGAAGAAGAACAATCATCACTTTCGTCGACAAATCTGATGTTGACGTCCGAAGAAGTGCGAATAACACCCTTTTTCATGTCCAATGGAATAAAGGATAGTAGGCTTCCGCGTTTGAAATTTTTTGCATTATTTTCTTGGATGTTTTCTTGGATAATCTGAGGAGGCAAGTGTCACTTGATAAATGGATACAGTCAAGTTCCGAGCCGGAGATAACGGCCGGCAACATGAAGTAGCCGACAGTTTGTCCGCGAAGTTCCTTTCCGGCTAGATCACGCACAGCGAGAGGCTGAGACGTGGCGGAGCAAATGCACAAGTTTGTGTGTTGGAGGATTATGAAGATAAGGTAGGAAAACCTAAAGGGAAATTTGTTCTTCATTGCAACAACTAATTCGAGTTGATGATTTCCTACTACATAATGACAAGCTTTTATCTCGGAAAGCGTGCATAATACCGTGTTCTAATTTGACGAAGTGGGGAAGATATTTACTTAATTCCAAATGGTTTTAATTTATTCCAATTGGATGTATAGGTTGGCTTTACTTACATAAATGGAATGAGATTAAGTATACATGTTAGTCCATTTTGTCATTGCAAAACCATGGATCTGATTACAGAGTGGCAGTTTTCTAGGCTGCGATTTTGAGATTTTGCATGGTCAAAACCTAATGGATGACCGTTTCTAACTTCATTATTGAAGAGCCCACTGCCCAACGCAAATTTAACTTCCATAATTATGATAATGACAGTTGACCGTCTATGCTTAAGTACGTGGAATTGCTACTCGGTTGTGAGTCAAAATAACTTAGAAGTACTCTTAGTACAGGAATATATATATATATATATATATATATATATATATATATATCCTACTATATTAGAAATAAAAACTCCTCTTTCAAACACCTTATATGATTGTCACGTGACATGAAGAAAGTACTAAATTGTCCTTTTGTCTAACCATAACTAAATTACTAAATCCCCCATGATTGCCACGTGACATGAAGATAGTACTAAATTGCCCTTTTGTCTAACTATAACTAAATTACTAAATCCCCCTTTGCACTTTACGTGACACGTTTTTTTTTTAATTTTTTCTTTGTGTTTCATTCAATTAGAGTAGTTTTCTAAATTGAATTGATCAATTAGGTTTTTGTTACAAAGTGTCAATTTTGTTTTAAGCGTATACCCTTCAGATGAAGTTTATTACAAAACTATTAAAAATCTCCAAAACTAATTATTGATTTGACACGACCAATGGAGAACATCAATAAATCATCTTACTAATATTTAAACTTATTAGGATGCTTTTATATTTTATCTAACATTTTTTTGTGAAATACAAATATTTCTATGATCACACTTATAAAACATTTCCAAATCCTTCAAACATTTCTAAACTATATCACTCCAAATACAAAATTTTATTTTTTTCAAATATAAACATTTCTAAGATCTACAGATAGACTGGGCCAGGATATCTGTAATACAATTTGTGAAATATATTGTTTTTAGTATAATTCACAACCATGAGATTATTATATTTGGAATTAAAGGGAATATATTATAGCATCAATACAAAATGAAGGGATTTTTTTTTTCTATTAACATCTATTTATAACTCTATCCCCTAAAGTGAACTTGACATATATAATATATGTATACCAAAAATGCGAATTGGCTGTGAATTAGACATATAGCTTACGCGAAAATAATACTTCTGTCTACATTCAAAACCGTAGACATATTTCTGTTCATAGTTTTGTTTTGAGATACATATATGTCAACTTGCCTCCGCTGGTTCCTCGGAGCTCCCTTCCGCAGACATCAGACACTGCCGGTGGCTGCGAAATTGCCGAGGTGAAGATTAAGGTTGTTTGGAAGTAATAGACTTCCGTTATTCATTGCAAGGAATAACTAAATTCACAAGAATTCGAGTTTAATGATTAAGTACAAAATGGCGCACCGGCTACTTCTATAGGGGAAGATTAAGTGCATAAATAGAGACACTGCATGCTAGCTAGACAAGGAGGAAGGAATTAATTTATTTCAAGTGGTCAAATTTATTCCGATAGGATAAAGGTTGACTTGAGGAATGGGATATTCTTCTTTGTCTTTTATGTCATTGTTAAAAGTGGCAGTTTTTATATTCGGCAGAATGATTGTTGTGCTGTGAGAATTTTTATTGTCAAATTCCAATGGACGACAATTTCGGGGGAGCTTCCGGAAAAAAAAAAATTCAATTAAATTTTACGTAAACAGTTGAATTTTATTTTATTTTTTATGGACAAGAAGGACCTCTTTCAAATTTTGAAAATCTGAAAATTCAATTAATACTATAAAGTCGGATTTCAAATTTTCGAAATTACCTTACTTTCAAAGATTTGAGAAATCCAAAACGCTTACTTTTGTCTATTGCCTCTCCAATCGGATATGGTTCCATCCTGACCCCTACCATAAAAATATGTTTTGGTCAAATACTAACTTCATTCGCTGAAGAGCTAACAACGGAGTTGACATCTATAATTGGGATAACGACAGTCCATCTAACCTTATGAACTATAATAAATATATAGGAAATGATCAGCGCCCTTTTGGAGAGTTAATTTGACGTATAGATGGAAGATGGTCTTCGAGGATATCATGTCCAAATGAGAGGAAATTCAATGATGAGAAATTAAAATCCCAATATATGTTAATTACATGGAACGATTCAAGAGTACTCTCAAGTGGCAATGGAAGATTGCACCTTCCTTCAGGTAAAATGAACCTATGAGTGACAAATAATTATGTTGACATGAGGAGACAAAATAAAGTAGGAAGCAAAAATCGAATAAAGATTACTTCGACTGTATTTGATTTTTACAACGGAAAAAAATAGCATACTACATACCGTGCTAACAGTGGAAAGATTTGACCGCACGTCCAAGTTGTCTCAAAATGAGACCTTCCGTTTGTGAAGTAATTTTTGCACAATAAAAACATGGATATAGATGAAAAGTTTGCTAGACTTTATATCTTTTTGTACAATATTTCTGTACTTAATTAGGATATTTTGAATTTTCATTAACAAAACCTAATGCCGCCTTATTGGAGAATCAATCCAACTTTATTGAAGAGCCATCTTCTATCATTGAGATGATGACCAATGATGACCATTTTGACCATCTATCAATCCCTCGGAGGATTACCAGAAGTGCAACTCGTGCGTGTCATTGTGAAATTGATAGTTCATTTTAACAAGTGTACAAAAAATATAGTTGGAGTAAATAGTACTATTAATGTCTCAAAATGAATTGATAAACAAACAAAAAGTAAAATAAAATCGATGCATGCATGTAAAAGTAAAAATTCATTTATTCATATGTTTATTCCACTGATCATTATAAGACTCTAGGGAATGCGTTAGTCCCTTATTTCACTCAATTTTGAAATTACAACTTGAAAATATTAATTATTCGTAACCAAAAGTAGCTACCCAAACATGACAATATACGTACTTGTCTTATTTGTAAAGCACAAACAAAAGCAAAACATGATGATCGATCATGCATGAGGAATTCAAATCATCATTTAAGCTTGCTTCAACACAAACTTCATTGGAACATCGCTCAGAGCCAAACGTCTCTTTCCATTTTGGACGACAATACCAACATATTTGCAATCCACTTTGCTAAATGTGGGACAGTAAAGAAACTTGTACAGCCCCGGGCCGTATGGTTCAATCTTAAACCAGTTTCTGATGGTATTTGGTCCGGGATTTCCCAGCTGCCCACCAGTTGAGAGGAAATAGTTTTTAGTCGCAGGGCAAACATCAAACGTCCACCAATTCGAATTTGGACATTTAGTCTTACAAGCAGTCGGGAATTCCACGTTGAGATCTGTAGAAACGCGAACCACGCCTTTTTTGAGATTAATAGGATAAAATGACACAGGAAGTCCAGGGACCTGATCCTCTTGCACAATGTCAAGAGGGCATGGTTTGTTGTCTAGGCTCTCTAGTGTGAGGCCGCCGGTACTCGGGTACACCGGACATATGTAATACCGTGCACCGGATCGGACTATTTTCCCTTTAGCATCAAGCACCGGGTTCGGTGCTTCTGCTGCAGAAGAAAAGGGAGAGTTGGAAACGGAAAGGACAACGAGAAAAAGTAGGAAGAATGCAGATTTCATTTTCGATCGATCAATGTAGTTGTGATTCCTTGTGAAATAATGTTGAAGTGAGGAAATGTTTGGAAGGACAATGTGATTTTATAGCTGCTCAAAAGTATGAGCTGGCTATGTTAATTGATTTGCATGGGGAAGAAACTGAGTGCTCATCGTACTAACTCCGGTGATTTTTCCATAGAGTTTGACGCTTGTGTCTGAATCGCCTTACAAATGGATTTTGACTCCACCGGGGAAAAAGTACGTACCAGTTTGCATGCATGGATCTTTACTTTATACTACGTAGTACTACTAATAGCCAGTAGTACGTAGCTCAACTTCTAATTTGCAACAAGTGATTCAGGAATAAACTATTAAATACTAATTTAAAATTGATTAGGTACGTATGTATACCATAATTGGGACCTTAAGCTTAATTATTACATAATCGAATCATTTTAGCTCACCAGCGGCTCTAAATGATTATTAATTATGTTATAGAAAATTCGGTAGCTGTGAGCACATTGTTTCTGACTAAAGTTAATTACTCGTTCATTGAGGTTTCCCATGTATATTTTTCATAATTTGATTGTTTCAATCGTTTTATGATCCATTATGTAGTCCAGCTTCTAGCACTCCCACTTACATAATGTTGGGGATTTTTTTCAAAAACTTTATAAAAGGTAGTAGTGGACTAGTGGATATACTTCTATTGTAACTAGTAGGATACCGGTGTGTTGATTTGAAATATTGTGTAATCTGAAATTATTAAATAATATGATAAATAAAATTTTTAAAACAGTTAAATTTTAAATCAAATTAAGAGGTACTAGTGTGTGTCCCGCGCTTTGCGCGGGTTTATCAATGAAAATTTATCTTTCAAAAGAATTAATTAGATAATGTAGTTACAAAGATACCGTCCTAGTTCTCTTAAAAAAAATGTAGTTACTAATATTTCTTAAAACTGTAATATTTTTTTGATTAATCAATTTTAGATCAAAATGAGAGATATTGATATTATTTATGAGAGGTGTATTTGTGAGATCTGGTCAAAAATATTACAACAAAGATTTTCAAAAGTTGTATAATAAAAATTGTTACCACTAACAATGTTATGTTTGGATTAAAAAATATATTTAAAAATGCGTAAATTATATCTAGATGCCTGTGGCCTATTTATAGGCAACGAGACTTTGGGGGATTAGATGTAGTTCTAATAAAATATGAGACACAATTAATCATCCTTGAAAATGTAAAATCGATAAACTTGAAGACTAAGTAGCACACAAATGAAACTTTAAAAGCCAAAATGACGGTTGAAAGTTTAAACTCACAAATGAAGGACTTATGAAGTCGGGAGTTTCTCAGTAATTTTCGAAAATATTCATTTTCAAGTTCACAATTAGGAATTTGTAATATCTGTAAAAATCTTATACCGTAAATAATTTATTAACTGTTTACAAAAAAAAATTAACTGATTAATGATCAACCAATTTGCAAATGACACGTGTTAATTAAGGCTTGATGGTCTCAATGAGCGACACGTGTCAATTATCTTTCTTTCCTTTAATATATATAGTGATTGATATAACTTATAAGATGTATGCAAAGTTTGGTTGAAAGTCCCAGAAGAAACTCTTTCTAAAGATAAAAAAAAAATTTTAAAAAAAATACTATATATATATATATTTACAGAAATGTATCACATTTTAGTTTATAATTCACAAAAAAAAAAACCCTTGAAATTATCTTTCTTTCTCTGCATTTTTCATTATCATTTTTTTTTCTCTTTTTCTTAAAGGAATCAATAGTGGTTACTTTTCATTATTGTATCTTTTAACATTTTCGTCCTAAATAAAATTTTCCATTCTCTCACTTGTTATTTCTCACTTTTACTTTTTTCCTTTTTCCTTCTTTTTTTTTTTTGCAATTTTCTCATGCTCTCTATATATATGCTAATTATTATTGTAGTATATAACAAACTATGGAATACTATCTTTACATTAATTGCATAATTAATTTTTTTGCTCGTTTACCATTGGCTCTAAATCGTTAAGAATAAATGTGGTAGACGTGAGAACATTGTTTATGACTGATAGTTAGATATGTCCCTAGCTTATTTTACATTATTATTGGATTGGTTCAATTTCTTTATCCTATATGTATCACAGCTTCTAGCTATATCTAGGGGTGTTCACGGTTTAGCTCAATCCGGTGGAACCGCCTAAACCGATCATCGCTTTGGATTAGCAAGTGGATTACAAGTGAATTTTTAATTCGGTGGATTAAAAATTTGAAAACCGGTCATATCAGTCCGGATTACGGTTTGGCACTGTCAAACCGTCTGTCAAACCGAACCGGACCGTATATATACATATATATTATTAAGTAATATAATAATAATTTTGTATATATAGCTGCGGGGTGACTTATAGCAAAATTGTTAAGTTGTCTGATTGGCTTTGTTGTTCCCCCGACTCTTAAATTTGGTTGAGGTCCGGTTACGGTTTAAAAATTTTTGAAACCGTAGTGAATGGTTTGGTTACAGATTATTATCAATTCGGACCAACCCGGTCCGTGAACACCCCTAGCTATATCACCTCGAAGTCACACAATAGTTTGGTCAGTATCAGAATCAAAAAGGGAACTTCATCAAGTGTACGTTCAATTATGACGATGAAGTTTAGTTTCAAGTTATAAATTTGTTTAGATTAATTTCGCTAAAGTTTGACATATGAATGTGGGGAAAAAATAAAGATAGTTCTTATTTGTTCTATGTATTCTTCTTGTGAATACCCAATTTTGAGTTCGTCAATAATATCTTTATCTAAAATTTCGGGTAAGGCCAAGACTTTTCTCATTAGGGTGACAGCAAAGATGATTAGCATATTTATTTTGCTTTTTCTGTTTTTTTTTAAGTAAAGAAACCAAGACTTTTCTCATTATGGTGACAGCAAAGATGATTAGCATATTTTATTTTGCTTTTTCTGTTTTTTTTAAGTAAAGAAATAATTTGCTAACTACCAGTATATGATGAACTACGAACGAAGCAAGTCAAAAAGTGTGTGCCCGCGGGATATTTTTTTCAAAGAATGCTTTAAAAATCTCTGGGAATCTGTATACTGAACCCTACAATCAGTTATAGCACTCAGTTTGGGGACTTCAAAGAAAAGTTAATTAGCCTTTTTTTGTTCTGTTTGCTAATATAAAAAGCACCCTCTAAATTCATACAAACAATCCTAACTCAAGCCATCAATCACAATGGAAACCGCTTTGATCCTACTCCTAGAATAAGAATATGTCAAGTGTACTTCATCAATAAACATCTTGGATTACGGACTAATAATCTTTCAATCAAAGTTGTGATTCGGATTGAAATAAAAGAATATATAACTCATTTCCAAAAAATATTAGCAATGAGTACATAAAACTTCGCGCATTATTTTGTATACCGCATTTCTTTTTTTCTTTTTCTTTTTTAGGGGGGGGTGGGGGGTGTGGGTATGTGGTATATCTGAAGAAGGATGTTTTTGTTATGATGTAATTTACGTTTTTTCCAAGTTCAGATTTCCTGTTCTATTATTTGTGTCCCACTTTTGTCCTACTCTGTGAAACTACGTAGTTTTAAGTACAATGCTTATCAATATATTAGTAGCTTAAAAATAATACGTCTCCAAAACTAAGTAAGCCGATTAAAACTTTGCTTTTTTACTTTTCCCTTTTGCCGTTCTTAATCATCATCATCATCATCGGCTCTTCATCTTCATCACTCTCTCGTCGTCTTCCCGCAAAATTCCTGAGCCTCCTTGTTCGGGATTGATCGAACATACAAGTATGTAAATACTTATTCACCATATCATTATGAAAACCTAAGAAGTGCAATTCTTTGTGCTAAAATAAGTATCGGACTGGACAAGTTCTTAAATGTGGTAGTTCCTTTTGAGCTCGTGAATCCAACTTCAGCATTCTAAGAACATTACAACAAACCAGAAGCATATTTGATTTCCTTAAAAGAAAAAAAAAAAAGCCCTGAAGCATTTGATCGATGGAAATAAGAAGCCCCAAAATGTAAGAAACAAAAAGCTTTGAGGGAGAAAAGCTTAAGACCTTTGATAGAAGAAAACCTTAAGACCTTCAATTCTATCACTTCCAATAAAAACATTCTCAAATCAAGAAACAAAGAACCCATGACATGCCGTTCAATTTTGGCGGGGTTGAGCCGGATTTCCTCGACGTTGGCGAAGCGACGGAGATCGGAAGTGACAGAGGTGGTCATCGCGATAGAGATGAAGAGCCGATGATGATGATCAAGAATGGCAAAAGGGGAAAATAAAAAAGCAAAGTCTTAATCGGCTTACTTGGCTTTGGAACCGTATTATTTTTTAGCTACTAATATATTGGTAGGCTTTGTTCTTAAAACTACGTAGTTTTATAGTTTATAGAGTGGGACAAAGGTGGGGCACAAATAATGGGACAGGAGATCTGAACTCGTTTTTCCCCCCTTTTCGTTAACCCATTTTTTCCAATAAGGTATTGTTTTGAGTTTGTAGAATGAGGTCCTGATAAGTACTCTGTGAAGTCTTTCTGTCGTAGGCAAAACAATTTATCATATCTCACCTAAAAGAATATTGAAGTTATGCTACATCTTTTTACTCGGTAGAGAATTTTGATTATCTACACTTAATGAAGATTCATTGAAGAGCCAATACATAGAGAGCTAGTTCCATAATTGAGAGAAATATAAATATGATTATTGTACCTAACAATGATTAGCATAATATGTTATTGTAAGCTTAATTATCGTGTTGACACAAAATAATGGAGTTGAGTGTGGGAAGCTAGAGTATTCAAGTTTAAAAAATTCCAACGGTGTATGTGACAAATATGTACTTCCAAAACAATAAAACAAAATACAATTAAGAAAGAGATATTTTACCAACCCAAAACTCTAAATAACATGTAAAAATGTAGAATCAGCAATAATCCTTAAAAAAAGCAAAGAAAAGAAAATGTATGATCGTAAACGTGGACAAATTAAATTGAAAGTTCAATTTAAATTACTCAATTCAATCAAATAAAAATAAAATAAAAAGGTAATTTAGTTGTTGAGAAAGACAGGAGAGAGAGACCAAGGAAAACACTAATTGAGTTAATCATTCACCCTTTCTCTCCAAATGATATTGTATCCCTGTCTCAAAAAAAAAAAAAAATCGGCATTCAGTATAAGGCTCTGTTTGATAATCACTTAATATAGTGACTTAATTTATTTAAGTAATTAATGAAATTAAGTGTGTTTGATAATCGCTACTAAAAGTCTTAATGAATTAAGTTCTGAACTAATTAAGTACTCATAAATTAAGTACGTTTGATAACTAAAATTTCACTGTCTGAATTAATTAAGTGCGTCTGAATAACCAGTTCAATTGTGAGCCAGAAAATAAGTGATAGGCCTATCACTTATCACTTATCACTTAATTTCTGTGATGACTCTATTTTTTTTCTTTTTTCTTTTTTTCCTTTTTTTTCCCTCGTCTTTATTTTGTCCCTTATTTTTACATTGTTTTTACAATTTTTATTTTCTTAAGATAAATTAATTAAGAGCGCTTAAAGTTGAATTTATATTATGTGTATAAAAGATCTCAAACTTTCAAACTCAAATTAAACTAATTTTAATACATGAAATTTGCTAAATAACAAGGTATACACATATATATAATAATCTAAATTTAATTATATATTGATTATTTACCAAGTGTAACATCTACTTTCATTATATATACAAATACTTATTTTAAAATTATTACTTTATTATTTAGAACAAAATATTAGTTATTTTTCTATTTAAAAGAATTTTGTTTATAATTCAATTTTAATGGTATTAAAATTTTAAATAACTTTCAGACATGAGTATTCAGATTCAATTTTCAAACTTCAGACATCATATTCAGACGTCTGTATCAAATAATGTAAATTAAGTTTTCAGGCTTCCGAGTTCAATGTTAAGTGTTAAGTGTTCAGATTCAGACTTCAGTGATTATCAAACAGACCCTAAATCTCAAAACTCAATATTTATTATTTTTTGGACAAAAAGAGTATAACTAATTAATTGATTATCGACATATACCATATACATATACTGAGCTATTTTTTCGGGATTGAGAGAATATAATTTAATTGATTGTAGGCATATACTACAGTAAAAACAAAACATTGCGTTAATCCTTTGTCTCCTAGACATAGTTGTCGGATTCATCCTTATTGTAAAACTCAAAGATATTCCATTTAATTATAAATGAAAAGAACAAAAATACAAAAAAAAAGAAAAAAAATTCTTATCATTATGTACATTGCATTTACCACGGAGGATGTCAACACGGTGACAATTACATGCAAAACAAGCCAAATCAACCAACAAAGTGCAATTTTCTTATTATTTTTCCCCCCTTTTCACAAACACAAACATTTCATTCTAAAATGGAGAATGGAATATAACCTCAAAAGGAACATCACTTAGCGCCAAGCGCCTCTTCCCGTTCTTGTCCTTCACAATTCCAACATCCTTACATATGACCTTGCAAGTTTTGCAAACCGAAGGGCAGAATCTAAGTTTGTAAGCAAGTTTATACTCCTCAATCTTAAACCAACTGTTCACAGTTTGAGGGCCAGGATGCCCTAAAACTCCTCCAACTCCAACAAAATACTCACCGGTCAACGCATCCTTTTCTTGAATTTTCCATACTAGAGAAGAAGAACAATTGCTTTCGCCAAAGAACCTAATGTTGACGTCAGAAGATGTCCGAATGACGCCCTTTTTCAAGTCCAATGGAGTAAAATATACTACCATTCCATGGCTGAATTCATCGTCGTCTTGGATGACTTGAGGAGGGCAAGTGTTGTTCGATATTAAGAAGCCACCAGCGGGGTCCGGGCCGGCAATAATGGCCGGCAATATGACGTAACCGATGCCTCCTATGATGCCTCCGCTCCGGAGTTTCCTTCCGAATATATCACGCACCGCGGAAGGTTGAGATTTTGCGGAGCAGAAGCAAAAGTTTGTTTGGAACAAAATGAAGAGAATGAAGGAAGTAGTAAAAAGAACTTTGTTATTCATTGTAATAAAATCTGGTTTTGATTACGATGGTTTTTCTTGCTTTAGAGATGTATGACGAAACGAACAAAATGTCTAGTTTTATAGAGAGCCAAAGAAATACAAAAGAACCATGAGCTAGAAGTGAAATTAAGTTGATCATATTTCATCAAGTTCATATGATTGGAAATGTTGACTTAATTAATTAATTAATTAGAGTTAAGATAAGATGGAATGAGATTCCTTTCGTGAGTCCACTTTTCTCATTTTCTGTTTGGTTAAACGATGGTTGCATTTCATTGTCAAAACTTGACTATTGGATGATATATTGTTCTAAGTTCGAGTTTCATTTATTAAAGAGCTAACAACAGATTTGACTTATATATATTGGGACAATGACAGTTGACCATATCTATTCATTATTAAGAAGAAATTGCTAATGTTGTTAGCAACCTCTTCATGATAATCCATTCATCATTCTGAAGTGTATTAATTAGCAACCTCTTCATCCATTCATTATGAGAAAACATTAATTTTTTTTTTTTTTTTGGTAATAGAAAACATGAATTTTAAGGTACAGAGTGAGTTCCCACAGGATGCAGCAGAAAGAAGCAAATGAAAGAGAATGTATATACAATACATGCTATATAGAGTATATCTTTTCTATCAGTTCTGAACTAACAAATTGCACACCGACGTGCGTACCAACAGTACCCTGTCTACGAATAATCAAAATTAAAAATGTAGAAATGACAAAAATGTTTTTACCTGTCTACCTTTCTTGCGATTTCTTTTTAATGATTTTTTAACACCATTTTGTTTACAGAACCCAATTCATAAAACAAGCACGCTTCACCAAAATATTAAGTCACCATTTTGTGTTATACTATCAAATAAAGTTTTCATAAATTTAATCATACAATTTAAGTACAATATTAATTTGTTTAGGTTCTTTCAGACAACTAAATATTCCCTCTATTCCAAAAAAATAATCTAATTTAAAAGACTTAAATATAAAAATTAGATGACTTAATCTTGTAAATTAAAAAGCTAATTTTAATATTTACATTTCTAAAATGAGCAGTAATAGAGCTAGTAAAAAAATATAGTGACATTTTACAGTGACTAATGTGGACATGTATTTGAGGATAAAAGATATAACTTTTGGCGGGAAGAAAAATTTTTTACGGGAAAGTGGCTACAAAATAGGGGAGTCATAATACTATTTTAACTAAAGGAAAATGATATATACAAATAGTGAAAAAAATAGTGAGTGGTGTGGAGTATTCTTGGCCCCTAGTTTTTTGTCACTTTCCCGTTAAAATTTTATCTTTCCGTAAAAATTATATTTTTACCCTTAATTAATAAGTACACATATTAAGTGATGATGGTGTATTTGTCTTTTCATTAGTCACTATATTTTTTTCCTATAATTAGTCACTATCTCTATCATTGCTCTTAAATAAAAAAATGGATACACAGTCACTATAACTTTTCACTATATATTTTCACTATCTTTATCATTTTTTTTCTAAAAAGGACTATTTTTGTGGGAGGGAGATAATACATAGTATACCCTCTGCTTTCATCACTACCAAAATTAAACACTTTTACAATCTAAATGATATTTAATTTGACATGACATATACTATTTATATTTTTATATTTATAAGTATCTCTAATAATCTATATTTAGTTATATCATCTGTACTATCACAAACTTTTTTTCCTGGCAGATTTTATTACCCTTTATTATAATTCAAGATATAAGAAAAAATGACAGGATCGAGAGGGGGACTTAATGAGCCTTACCTCGCCAGAAAATTTGTGTAAGCAAGCATTGAACAAAACATCGAATGCATTGTGTGTGTGCGCGCGTGAATAATAATCCGAATCCATATCCGCGATTAACATTAGAAAGACGAAGGTTCAAGGTTTCCAAATGACTTGGGTATCAAGCCAGTTAAATTGTTATTAGAAAGGGTGAGCCGTTCTAGAAATTCAAGGTTTCCAAATGACTTGGGTATCAAGTCAGTAAGTTGGTTTGATGACAGATATTGAGCGACAAGACTAGTGCAATTCCCTATGGAAGTCGGTATGACTCCACTGATGTTATTATTTCTAAGATAAAGAAATTTTAGATTTGGCAATTGGTAACAGATACTGGATGGAAGATGGCCCGTCAGATGATTATGTCCAAATGTGAGGACATTCAATTTCGACAAATTGAAAATTCCAATAGGAATGGATCCACTAAAATGATTGTAATCAGCATCAAGAATATTCAATTTGTGAAGGTTGCTCATTTCTTCAGGTATAGCACCTACAGATAATAAATAAAGCTTGTACCTTAATATGAATATACTCAATCTGTTTCATAAAACACATAGATACTGCAATTTATCAAATTTTCTATAATTTACAGCTCATATATCGTAACTGCAAACTACGTATATCATGTTATTGAAAATTTGGAGTAAAAAAAAATTGTATATCAGTGTTAAGTGTGAGTTTACAAAATAAAAATTGCTAATATTTGACAATAAGAAATATATTTTGAACTTGACTATCATGATGGAACCATGGACTTTTTCTTTTAATTAATTACCTCATTTACATACATGGAAACAACCATTGTTATTGGGGAATAAAAATCAGAAGCATGATGATCGCACTTGAATAATGACTGTACCTTCCAAGGAATTAGATTTCAACCTAAGAAGAGCAAGCCTTGTCAAATTCCCTATTTCTTTTGGAAGGGAGCCTGAAATTCTGTTCTGGTAAATACTAAACTCCTCGAGGTTATGAAGATGGCCAATCTCGCGGGAAATGGGACCTGTCATTTTCCAATAAGTTTTAATGTAAAATTTTCCGTAACACGGAAGTGTTAAAAAGTACTTTCTCTGACTCAAAATGATTGTCATATTAATATTTGTTGTATGTCATATGTTCCTGGAACAAAAACCTTTGAAGATTGTAGTAGCAAGATTAATTATTGGTAACACTATACCTCGTAAATGATTGGTTCCAAGGTAAAGAATTGTTAGCATCTTCAAGTTGCCAATCTCTTTTGGTATTGATCCACTGAAGCTGTTGTTTGCAAATGAAATCCCTTGAAGCTGTGAGCAATTAGATAAACTTGGAGGGAGATTACCCTTTAGCTTATTCGCAGATATATAAATTCCCTTGAGATTTGGAAGATAGTGACAAATTTCATCTGGAAGATTTCCTGTCAAATTATTACATGACAAACTAATACTCTCTAACGTCGAGATGTTGAAGATGGAAGAAGGTATAGAACCATTAAGTTGATTCTGTTTTAGACTCAGGATTCTCAATCTTTGGAGATTCCCAATCTCTTTAGGAATGTTTCCTATTAGAGAATTACCTCTAATATCTAGAATTTCCAAATTCAACAAGTTAGAGATGGAAGAAGGGATGATTCCACTAAAACTGTTATTCTCTAAATCCAAGATTTGAAGCTTTGGACCAAACCAAATCGGAACTGTTCCGCTAAACTTGTTTAGGCTTAAGTTTACAAACATTAATCTGCGCAAATCGCGACAGTTCTCGAGGTATAGTTCCATGGAAGGAGTTATTTTCTAAGTTGAGTGAAACAAGGAATGAAAGATCACCCAAATGTGGCGGTATGGTGCCTCTAAGATTCATGCCTGAAATATCAAAAAGCGGTGACTCTGCGACTGAAAATGTCGCATTGAACTCCGATCCAACCACAAATGGAGGATGAAGGGGCGGAAGAAGACCAGTTTCTGGACAAGATTTGAGAAGGGTCTGAGGAAATGTGTGATTTCAAGGATAGAAGAGCTAATTTATCAGTTGCAAGGTTTTTAGTTGGTTCAATGGCCATGCAAGAAATCATCATCAGAAAATGAATAAGAAGTGCAAAGTGTCTTCTATTCATTATTATTGCAGTTATCGATCAACTTGAAAATGGTAGTGAGTTTTGTACTGAATAGGTAGGATTTTACAAAACACACACACACACATATATGTATACATACACATTTGAATGAGGTGGATTAATTGTTCACGCCATGAGAAATTTCCAGGAGCATTTCACTGCCTTGCTGAAACTTTAGCTATTGATTGAAGTACTACTGGCCATTATTACAGATGAAAGTAATTGCTTTCATTTTCACATAAAGGACACTTTTTAGAGGGAATTGAGGTCTTCGCTGCGTTGACTTGACTTTATGTGGAAGCAACCCAAGTAAATGAGTTTTGTTTTTTTTTTGTGGAAAAAAAAAGGAGGAGAATACGGAGAAATGTTTGTGTTAGGGCTGCTTCGTTTGGTATTGACAAACTCACAAGACAAAGAGGTTACGTACAAAAATGTTGGAATAAGTTGGGAGACGTCCATGATGTTGGAACAAAGAATCATATATATGTGAAAGATTTGAGACTTATATATAAGTTATTTAGATCATTATATTCATTATCAGTTAGTTTTGAGATGAAAATCAAAGTTGGTTTAACACGTGAAGTAAAAAAAAAAACAAACAAACAAACTTTCACTCCATATATTCTTTTTTTTGCCATTGTATGTGTAGTTTAACGCACGCGTCTTCATAAATAAGATAGCAGTTGAAGGAGGGTGATTGGACACTGGATTACTGAATATCGATCTTAGATTGTTTGAGGTAATTCAAAAGGCAATGCTTCTCCTGAGGTTTATAAAAAAGAAAAAAGAAAAAAGTCAACTCAGTTCAAAATGCCCGTCTATTGCGGGAATGCAATAGAGGGCTTCAAAAATGTCAATTTCCTTCTCACCTTTCACACTAGCGGGGATAGATGTGAGATAAACAGTTTCTTTTCTTCGTTTTATGGTTTGCGCGTGTTATCATTAAATAAGTAAGATGGATTATATCCAAAAAAAAATTAATTTTGAAGTTATTTCTGCATCAGTAGACCTTATTGATCATGTTTTTGTCTTTTACAATAGGTATTCGTGAGTGGATTGTAATTAGTAATAATTTTGTTCACCTTTTAATAATTTTTTTCTGAGAATGTGCAGTCATAAAAGATTTGTTCTTTCCGTCCCAAAATTTTTATCCAGTTTTAATTTTCACTTTTAGTTAAAGTTATGCTAGACAATAATTTTAAAATGGAGGGAATATTATTTAAAGCGTTCATCAAAAGCTTAGTAGTATGTTCACGATAAGATTGCAGTTGTGACATGGGATGCATTCATCAATTGTTGTGTTAAGGGATTGATTTGTCAGTCCATTATGAAAATAGTTTGTGAATTTCTATATTAAACTTTAGAAGATTCTAGTGATTGTATATATTCACTCAAAAAAGTGTAACTTTTTTTATTTAAACGACAGTTTTATTACATTTAACTTCATGTTACAGGAATCTGAGGAAAAGATATGCCCTCATAACATAAGGAGTTGGCATTATTACAACTAGCGAATCTATGTTTTTTTTTTTTTTTTTCACAACAGAATCCTTGCAATAATTGCAGCTGGCAACCAAATTTATTAAACAAAGCCATCAATCAACAATCGACCTAAAGAAACATTTCAGTCATTTCAAGTTTTGAACACAACCTCAAAAGGAACATCACTGAGAGCCAAACGCCTCTTCCCATTTTTGTCCTTAAAAATCCCAATATCTCTACATATCACCTTGCAAAACTTGCAAACCGAAGGACAGAACCTAAGCTTATATGCAAGCTTATACTTCTCAATCTTGAACCAATTGCTCACAGTTTGAGGGCCAGGATTCCCTAAAACACCTCCAACACTCACATAATACTTACCCGTCAATGCATCCAGCTCATGAAGCCTCCACACCAGAGAAGTCGAACAGCTTGTGGCGTCGGCGAATCTGATGTTGATGTCGGAAGAAGTCCGAATGACACCCTTTTTCATGTCCGTATTAGTGAAGTATACTTTGATTCCGTCGTTGAATTCGTTGTTTTCTTGGATGACCTGGGGAGGGCAGGTGTCGTTCGACTTTGAGACGCCGCCTGCGAGGTCAGGGCCAACGATGATGGCTGGCAATATGTAGTAACTGATGCCTCCCCTGATGTCTGCTCCCCGGAGCTCCCTTCCAGCTACATCACGCACCGCGGGAGGCTTAGACGTCGCTGCACTGAAGCATAAGTTTGTTTGGAAGACTGTGAAGAGAAGGAAGAAAGTAGAGCCATAGAGGAGTTTGTTCTTCATTAGAACTATTTCTCAGTGATTTTTTTCTTGCTTCAGATGTAAGTGTTTGGTGATAAACAGAATGCCTAGTTTTTATAAGTGCAACAAAGTGCAGAATACCGTGTGCTAGAAGTGAAAAGATTTGAATAAGTCGAAATGGTTATTCCAAATGGATTATAGGTTGACATTTTATCTTATGATCAGATCAAGATCAGTTTGGTAAAGTCTTCCTGTCATAGCAGAACTATCTCACTAGACACTTGCAGTTTTATATATTGATTCTTAGGCAGATCTGGTTCAGTGCTTCTTGGACATTTAATCATTTTCATAGTCTCTAACTTCACTCAATAGCCAAATACAGAGTGGACATCCATTATTTAGATAATGACCATCTATCCGAAGAGAGATTAATTATAATTGCAACTCGGTTTCGAGTTCAATGCTAAGCATAAACTATAACAAGTAATAATACACTAAAGTAGACTACTTTTTTTGAGATAAGACAAAATAATAAACTTAGGGTTTATAATAAACATATCGCAAAAAATGCCTCAACTTTTTTTTTTTTTTTTTTGGTCAAGCTTATCCTTTTTTTGGTTGACTTTGTATTGGATTGTATGAAAGCAGGATTGCACAAGTGGGAGGATTACTAATGCTTTTTTTTGAGCTGTGAACACCTATTACATGATCAAAAGTCAAAAGCAAAAGAGATTTTGACAAACAAACTAATTTTCTTTATCTTATATTACTAAATTAGGGGAATACAGGGCATTCCTCCACCATTATACAAAAATAATAATTAGCAAAACTTACATGATAGAAAGATAGTAGTGAGTTTCTTCCTTTCACTTGTTAACTTTACACCTCTATTATAATATATATATTTTTTTTTTTCTTGACAAAATACAATCTACTCTTATGCATCTTTCTTATTACCCACAAACCAAAGAATACCACAAAGATAGTGTTATCCTCATGAAACCATGGCCACGCTTATCGATTGTAGCCCATGGCTACAACAGGTATCCTGACCTTGTGCCATCTGCTGCCTTTCAGTATAACTTCCCCGAAACTGTAAGCTCCCGTCACTGATCGAACGGTAAGAGTGACAGTAAACTTACCTGATGCACCAGGTCTTAAAGTCATTGCTGGAGGGTTGGTTTCAATGGCAATTTCGGGTGCCATTTTTGCTTGGATTACGTAAGTTTCTTCCTCGGCAACATTTGTCACGATGCGTGTAACTGTCTGAGTTCCCACAAGACGTGAGATTGTTATTGAGGGACTGTTGAAATTTGCTGGGCGACCTATAGTGTAATTACAAGGGGAATGAGTGTAATTTCTTATTTCGCCAGCATCAATTCCTGGCGTAGTGCATAAGAACCCTAAGTAGTCTTGATAACCTACAAAAAGGAATCATCCAACGGAAGAGAGAGTTAAGCAACAATACGCCAATTGGTAGAAACCGGAGGGAAAAAAAGATATGATTATCCTACTCACAACCAAGCAATGCTATATGGTTGTAAAAGAAATAGGGGGAAAACCGAAAATATTACCAGCATCAAAGACAAGTCCAGGATCTAGAGCTGCTCTGGGATTGACATGACCACTTCCATAATCGAAAGGAGTAGCTTGGACAAATGTCATAGTTTCAGACCCTGAGTACTGTTGTGCTTGGAGAGGTTTCTCTGCTCTGTCGAGTGTTGTTGATGTCGTCATCAAAGCTGATTTGATTGCAGCAGGGCTCCAATGAGGATGCTTTTGCTTCACAAGAGCTGCTATCCCAGCGATGTGGGGAGCAGCCATGCTAGTTCCAGATATCATAGCAAATTCCTCACCTGCTCCATTCAACAACGTTTAAATTTTTAGTTTCCTATGTTTTTTTCCTCATCCAACTTAATACGCTTAGTTAAAGTGGCCTATTGTTACATATGCAAATGATCACAAAAGGATTTAAACTCCATTTCTTTCCTGTTTTTGTCACGACAATGACATTGGATTGTCCAATAGTATTGATTGACAATCTCAAAAAGCTAGGTAATATCGGAAATATTTACCAACGTAATTTGCTTCATCAGTTCCATTTGGTGACCATGCAGCCCAAATTAGAGAACCAGGGGCCAGAATATCTGGTTTGAGGATATCAGCATCTTCAAAGCTATAATCTTTAATGTTTGGTCCTCGAGATGAGAAGAGTGCTACTTGTGGTGCTGATTTGTGGAGTATAGGCTCCAAACCAAACCCTATGCTTCCAATCGATTTGAAGCTCTTCACACGCCCAGTCCAATCTCTAGATGTAGAAATGTTATAGTAATCTATGAGCTCCTGAAAAGCAATGAGTCATGCATCCCATGAGAAAGCAATAAACACAAGTGTATGGATGTGGGAGAAAAAAATTAGTAGTACAAGTGCTTTTTTTTTTTTTTGGTTAACACAAGTGCATTTAAAAGACAAGGAACATTATTAAGTTATGCATATTTGCACAGGTAGGTCCAAGTGCCATAGTTAGTCAGGCCTATAAATATTGACAAACACATTTTTGTAATGATGAGATAATGCCAAGCACAGACTAGAACAAGATTCGACAGATACACATACTTACCTCTGACTTGCTAACATCTGTAATCAGAATTCCAGGGATACCAACAGGTACAGGGTCGAATTTGGTTCCAGGAGAAACATTCTCCACAGCGAGAACAAAGCCTACTGCACCAAGACTCTTAGCTGTTTCTGCAACTTTTTTAATTGAAGCAGTACCAATTACAAAGTTGAAGGAGTAACCGCAAAGAAGGATATTTCCTTCTACTAAATGTTTGTTCAGAACTTCTGGCCTCTGGCAGTCTGATGGACTAAACTTCCCCGCAGATGAATCCAACAGCACATCATTGGCTGCTACCATGGTGAATGTTTGATTTGCATGGGTTGCAGCTGCACAAAGCAATGAAGCATGAATGAGCTCGAGAAATGCAGAGATTTCATGAATCAGAACCAATTTAGCAAGCTGACAGCTAATGCGAAAGTAAGAAAGAAAGGATCCCAAGACAACAATGCATTTTCACTCAACTTGGGGAATTGACGAGACAGAACTATGTAAGTTCAAATAGGGTTGAATTAAAGAATCCACAACAAATTTGGGATTTGAAAATTAACTGTGCACAATGTACTTACGTGACAACCCAAGTCCAGCTAGTATTTTTCCATTTCCCAAGGTCAAATGGTTTTTGTATCTACGGTCATCGACTGCAGCAGCAACAGTGGCAATCCATGGGCTGTAAGAGAGCAAGGTTTTAGGAAAAGGACCTCCATTTCCTGCTGCCTGTACAACAAATACTCCAGCTTTGACTGCTGAAAGGAGTGTAGCATCAAACGGGTTTAAAAATGTAGTCTTTGTGGTTGCTGGGGGACTATTTGGCCCAACTGAGAGATTGAGAATGTCCACACCATCATGCACTGCCTAAAAAAGGTAAGCAGCTTGAATCAAAACCTCTTAACCAAATTGCACTTAAAGGATCATATAAATGAAATTGACAGAAACAAGGAAGTTTATTATATTATCTACTGGATCATTATTATGACACATTTCAGAAGATGTGAGCTCTACCACTCTGTTTATTAATGACACTCAAACCACGGGTGGATATCTGTGTACCATCTTACCTGATCAATAGCAGCAACTACATCAGCAACAAACCCACCGAATAGCCTATAAAGTGCCTTGTAAACAGCAATCCTAGTAAACAAAGAGACATAAATGGTGACGACAAATTCTCATGGAGAAAAATAATGATCATAAGATTTTATTGATTTCGCATTTAATTCCACCGAACTCTCACCTGGCACGAGGTGCCATTCCACTTGCTCGTCCAAATTCAAAGCCATTCATTCTTACTTCAATCCCATTGTTTCCAGCTGCGATTGATGCTGTGTGACTAGTTAGAAGATTGCACATATAAAGAAAAGGTCAGTTCTGGAGATATAGATGAAAGGAAAAATTGGATTTGAGTGAATAGTGAGAAGACAGAAACACATGCAATTGGTAGGACAGAACTGGGTAGTTTTTCATAGCACAAGTTTGAGCTATCTCAAAAATCAACAAAACTAGAGACTCCTGCTTGAAGGAAAAATCTAGGACATCCTACATTAAGGGAGTTGATGCACGAATATACTCTTTTTTACAAGCAGATTCATAATTTTTCATTTCTGAAAGTTGATAAATGAAAATTCACGAGAAAACCATATTTGTGCACACGATAACACTTCAAAGCATACCTTCCATGGCCGTCACCATCCAGGGGCGAATCCAAGTCCATTTCCGGATTAAATTGACCAGAGGCTTTAGCAGCTTCGGCGAAATGCTGGGCTCCGATAATCTTTCCATTACAGAAGTCCCTCTTTGTTTCTGGATTAACTTCACATTTTCCTCTGTACTTTGGAAGTGGTCCATAGGGTTCAGTATTTCTGGTTGAAAAGCTAGGATGAAATGGATGAATTCCAGAGTCGACAAAGCCTATTACAATATCTTCCCCAGCCCTGTCAAAGCCACCACCTGTTGGCCATACACCAGTTGGAAGCCCCAGAAACTGTGGGGTGTGGGTGGTAAGTCTCCTCACCTTCCAATCTCTCTCCACAGATATGACTCCAGGTGCTTGTCTCAAAATTTCTGCCTACAAATATAATGAAGGTGTAAGAAAAAGATGGGGGAATATTTGAGCATCAATACAGGACAGCAATTAGATTTAACTCTTCTTTTTTCTGCTTGATTAGTTGGGGTGACAAAACAAGTAGAGGGATGGAAGTATAAAGAAAGCAGATCGTGTCACCTGCTCAGGTGCAACGTGAACAGCAAAACCATTGATAAGATGACGGTAACTGTAGACTTTCTTATAGCTCCCGGGGTCAAACAACGTGGCAAGAAGCATGTCATGTTTGTTCTCCAGATGACGAGCGTAAGATGTAACCACTTCACTGTAAGGAAGCAAAGCACAAGGAAAAGGTGTAAGCCCGCAGTGCTCACTGGATTATCGAAGGTATAAAAATGTCACTACACTTGTCACCAGAACAGATATCCATTGATATGCGCATCTAGCATCCTGAACATCTTAGCTAAGTGACCAACCTACGCAGGAATTCTTTAACTCATGAAGTTTGACGAGGTCAAATTACAACACATCAATAAGAAAGAACAATAGTGCTATACAAATACAGCCCCGCAAGAAGAGCCTTTGCTATCCGCTCTGCCAGTACAGCTATGGCTAGGCACTCACCATTAGAACCATACATAAGCTTACTTTAGCTAGACCAAAATAAATAAAAAGCTATGAGATTCACTCAGAACCAATTATTTTAGCTTCCTACATCACACGCATAAAACAATGCACATTAACACTTGAGCAAAATCACCACTCCATCAACACAGCTTACATGACCAAAAATTATACACTATGGAAGACAAGTATTTTGCAAAAATATGAACCAAGTCAAATGAATAAAAGATTTTAGTACCTGGTAACATCAAGTTCTTCGTCGGATTCTACAGCAGTGGCTTCAAACCCTTGAACACCGCCTCTATAACTTACCACAGGCTCCCCTTCAACAGTTACTATAAAAATCTCAGCATTCACCTTATCAATTGAAACCCCCAACAACATTACAATAGCAAAAGCCAGCCCCATTCCCATTGTCCTCATTGTTGCTGATCGTCTTCCCTCCTCAGCCAGAGCAATCTGCTTGCACAACGACATCATAATCAGCATTTATCAACCCATCCCACTACTTGAAATAGCAATCAATAATAAAATCCATTTAACAAATTTCAATAAAGCAATCGGAATTATAGCACATTCAATCTCCCAGCCACTTACAAAAAAACAAGCCAATTTGAAGAGTTATACAAAACACAGCGAAGAGTACGTCAGCATAAAAGATTGAGAGGCTCAAAAGATAAGCTCACAATGTGAGAATTTTCACCCCATCAATGGAGTTAAAAAAGAGAAGAAAAAAAAAAAAAAAACAAGGGTGGCGGATTAATAAAAAAAACTTCACCGAAGTGAAAGTTAAAATTTACCAAAACCATTTGGGCAAACAGAATCGAGTTCCAAAGTACGAAATATACGAATAAAATTCCCACATTTTAATCTTTAAAAAGATGTCCACATCGATTTATCGCTTCATTTCAGCTGGAAATGTAAGCAGGAAGCTGAAGAATGAAGCAAAGAATCAAACCCAACAAGGAAAAATAACCGGAAAAAAAAAAAACCGTGATTGAAAATCAAAAAGAAAGTAATTGAACCCAGAAAGGAAAATGCGAACAGAAAGCGAAAGGTAAGATCTTCCAACACTCACATTGATCCAAGGAAAGAATCAATAAGAAGAAGTAGGAAAAAAAATTGCCGCCACAAAGAACACTTATTTATTCCATCAACTTCTTTTTCCCTGTTTTTATCAATTTATATTCTCTTCCCCCACAATCTGGAAGCTTAAAGATTTTTACATAACTAAAATGGGAAAAAAAAATGGGATCAAAGGAAACAAAAAGGAAATGGGTGGTGAAATAAATATACAAAGGAAGCTGAAAACAGTGAGAGATGATAAATAGCTCTCTGGCTTTGTTGAGTAGAGAGAGTGAAGAACAAAGCGGGAGTGTGAGAGTGGAGGTAGTTAGGGCTGTTTTTTTCTTTGTTCTTTTTTTTTTCTATTTTTACTTATTGATTTATTTTTATTTTATTTATTTGGATTTATTTAATGAATGTGGAAATTGATTATTGGTTGTTACTTCTTTTAAAGACGCGGCAGACAAGGGACCGAAGATGGAGGACAGTCTTAATGGGAATCATTACATTACCGAGTAAAAATAGTTGTAAAAATAATTTTTTTATTTTTTTTGGTAAAAAAAGGTAAAAAGTTTTTGTGATGAAATCAAGTTCAATATTTTTTTTGTTTTGGTTAAATTCAATGGTTACATTATTAAGATTGAGAACTTATATTATTATCTCTCTAATTAATTGAAATAACGAATAAACAGCGTTACATGTATATCAGTTCTGATGAGATATTTTGATACCCTACTCGTCTGGCATGTGCCTAACAAGGAACAAGGGTTTAGTACTCAATAAGTGCAATGTATTTGAATAAATGATGATTTTGAGTCATAGATATGGCATAATCATGAGGGCAGGAAAGATATAGATTGAGAGATCAATCACAACAACTGTTTCACATTGAAATGGAGGGAAATATAGAGAGAGCAATTAATATAGTGTAGCTAGGTGTCAATCAAGCTCCTGAAAGACTGTGTGAGTGTGTGTTGTTTAAAGGTGCTTGCTTGATTATGGTTAAAGATGAAGTAAATTATATATTAAGTAATGAAGGTAATATTATTTTTTTTGTTCTTTCAAGATTTTGGGGTCAACAAAGTGATTATATAAATTTGCCAAATCTGTAAAGTGATGTGGATGGGTTGAAATGTAGCTTAAAGTTTCCACTGCTGGATTTTCTTGATTTTTCAGGAAAAATTCCCCATATTGAATAGTCCAACCCTTTTTACTACATCTTCGTAGGTAATGTAATTCTTATATTGTTTTCTTTATATATATATATATATATATTATGCATCCGATATTCAAAATCATTGCTCTGACTAATCCAGATTCGAGCCGGGTAGATCTCTTTCGAAAAATAAATCTCTTTCAATAAATATTTTAATCATTGTTGCATGCCCATATTCAAGTTCGATATAATTCTTATATTCTGAACCCATCTTATATTCACAATAGTCACAATCTAATTATACTATTTTGTAAAGAAAAAATTAGATAGTCTAGATCAGAATTGTAATAACAATATCAGAACCGAGTCTCAAGTTCTTCTGAGCAGGGAGCAATACAAATGATAGAAACAAAAACGATAAAAGAAATCTTATCATGTAGTATTAATAATCACACTTAATCAAAGAGGAAATGAAGATGACCCATGTGAATCAATAGATTCAGATTGAGACGTATTTTTTTCTTCATCAATAGAATAATAAAGTTTTGCCATGAATAGGTGTGGGGTTTTGACAAGAATGTTTACTTTATTGTACACTTTTGCATGAATACAACAAAAACGTTAATTAAAAATCTTGGATTGACCCTTAATCGTTGTCGACATCTCCTTTGGACTTTTTTTTTCTTTTCTTAATCATTTTTGTTAATCTAATTTTGGGGTAAATCAAATCAATGTTTCTTCAGTTTGGCTTTACTCTTTCACTTTGGTACCTCCTATTTAAAAAAGCAAAAAATAAAAACAAACACTTATGAGTATTTTAACTCAGTTCAATTGAAAATTCTAAAAAATTTCTCTATTCTTTCACTACACAATGATATCAGTGAGATAAATTATACTAATAATATTAATACTCCCTTTGTCCCGAAATTATTGTCCAATTTAGATTTTCATTCTTAGTTCAAACTGGACTAAAAATAAAATCTCGAATTAGACAATAATTTTAAAGTAAATGGAATATGACTTAAATTATGCTCGGTGAATTATTCATTTTAATGTTATTTTTTGGTTCGGAAAGTGACTCTTTGAAGTATATATCGAACACACGTACCTACGGCACATGGTTTTTAATCAAGGACATTGAATTAGACATTGTTAAGGCTCATAAGGTAACATAATGTAACTTCATAAGCTGCTTGAAAAGGAAATTGTACGACTTTTGTTCTAAAATAAATAAATAAAATTGTATGAACAACCGTTTGAATTTTTATTTAAAAAAAAAAAAATTTGCGCAGCAAGTTGTACTTCTAAACTAAAAAGATTTGTACAGTCAAATCATAAATGCGTAATTATTTTATTTTCATAAACTCGAAATGGAAAAGACAATTGTAAGGAGCCTCATCTTCGCATTAATTAGCATGTACAGAACCCTTGGAAAAAGAATAATAGCAAGAATTAATTAATAATATGGGAAAATGGGTCTTTTTATCCCAAAGTTTGGGCCACACCATCCAAAACATCTCAAAGTTTAAGAACATGCCATTTACATCCCAAACTTTTTAAAAACATGTTACATTAGGATATTTGTTAAATTTTTAACTCCAGTTAATTAATTAGTGGTGGTACGTTATTCTGTTTCTCCGCCCCCAATTCTTTTAATCATTCTGTTCCAGTTACTTTATTCTGTTCCAGTTAATTAACACGTTCTACTAACTCCCACCTTATAAGAAAAGAGCTAAACCTAATTTGGTTTTCACATCATCCATTCTTCCCTTGCTTAGAAAAAGAAAAAAAAAATCTAAGATTCACCTTCTAGATTGATAACAATAATGAGAGGTTTTGTGTATTCCCTAATTAGAAAGTAAGCCCTATTTCATTTATTTTTTAAATATGTAGCATCATTATAAAAATTGGTATTGTAATTGATGCAGGGGCATGCAATTATTTTGCTTGGCATGGACCAAACGCAAGTATGAAACTTTTTTGACAAAAAAAAATGGGAGAAAAGAAACTGAATGAAATATCGCCGTTAATAATTTAAAAAAATTAACAAATGTCCTAATATTACATATTTTTGAAAAGTTTGGGATAAAAATGGCATGCTTTTAAACTTTGGGATGTTTTAGATGGTGTGCCTCAAACCTTGGGATGAAAAGGCCCATTCTCCCTTAATAATATTAAGGCTAACTGATTATTTGATTCGCTGAATTAAAATATTCTCATAAATCAGGAAAATAAAAAAGAAAAAATAAAATCTCATTTACCTCGTAACTGTTTGCGCAGAGATCACTACAAATATATTAATGAATTTAACAGGTTCGTGGAAAGAATATGTAGGTGTGCAGAAGGATCCAAGGGTCCTAATTGACGAAACAAAGTTCGGTCACGTTTTAACACTCCATTCGACATCTTCTAAATATTATTCCTTCCGTCTCAAAAAAAATAGTCCACGTTGAGTTTTCAGATGTGAATTAAAAAGAGTATAAATCTAAAAACTCAATGTAAACTATTTTTTCTAGGACGGAAGTAGTAATATAAGTAATCATAATGCACACGTCAATCCTAAAAATATATAGACTATTTTTTCTATTTCTGTATATATCGTGATATTTAACCATCAACTAATCGCTCTAATGAAAATTTTGAATACATGATAAAAATGCTTACTAATCAACCACATGCCATTTACATGGAGCTGTAAGAAGTTAATAATGTATATGATCAAGTAAACGAGAAAAATTTCGCACGTTCTATTACTCTAAAAAGTCTCCATCAACAATTTTTGTGGCTACCACCATTGGGACATTTGTTTTTCGATATGTGAGGTTTGTTTTCTAGTTGGAAATGGAGCTACGAGTCAAGAGCAGCAGAAAGAGCAACCAACTTGGATGGTTCCGAATTCACTCGTAAGAAATGAGAATGTCCAGTTTACCATTTCTGTTAGTATTCATTTGGTTAAATGATTGTGTTGGTTGGTGAATCTTCTTTCATCCATATCATTTTGACTGTTCTCCATTTTTGCCTCTAAACATACATTTAATGATCAATGGCGCTACATCTTAAGTTACTTAACAAAAAAATTGCGAGTTCAGTTCCTAAAATTATAATGATTGAGACAGTAAATACAATTGATCGATCAATATAACATTGATTAACAATTAACAAAAACTTAGTTATATCATCACATTACTCACCATAAAAAATCGCTATGACTTTATTTCTCTTACCGCACAGTGATATGCCGATAACAATGATTAATTCTTTTCACTTTAGATATTTCAATGAATAGAAAGAAGTTAGTCAAAAGATTTTAGATTATTAGTCCATATCGTAAGCAAGATTTTTAAAAACCGATTTCAATCAAGTAGTTAAGAATAAACGAGCATTTTGTACTCAAATCACTACTCTTTTACTTAGTCACCTTTTTTATGTATATAAATATACTCTGGAGAAAAAAATTACTCAGGTTGACATCGTTGTAGATACCTAAACAAAACACTGAACAACAACAAACACATTTCTGCCAGATGTGTCTGTGTTTTACATGATCGGCAACAATAATAATTTTTTTTTTTCACTTAACCTTTGATAAATATTCCAGAAACCCAAAAAAAGTTGTCCTTTATAAGCATCAAGCTAAAGCCTTTTTTATTTGTATCATGCAAGATTTGTTTGTACATTGTAGTTCTGACTGATTCTACCAAGAACAGAAATTAAAAAAGAAGAAAAACCACAGGTTCTGATCCAACAGTGTTATATATTTATTCCTACTAGAAAATTGTTGGAACGGTTACTTTCTGTGGACATGTGAGTATTGACCCACCACCATTGTCCTTATGTTTATACACTACATGTGATTTTTAGACCAATTCTGTGATAGACAGGAAATTAGATGTGATGATTTGAAGATTCGATGATACAGTGGGATAGCTTCAAATATATGTATGCATCATCTATTTTTCCGTCCTAAAATTAATATCGTATTTGTTGAACGAAAACAATACAGGAAACATGATTTTTATTTTGGGACGAAGATGAGCGACGATGATGAAAAATTGTGATTGATATTGCTTCATTTCGTTTTCTGTTATGGTACGTGGGTACAACTTGAGAGATTTGGACGTCCAATACTAGAAAAGTTCTATATCTGTGAAAATTTCTTTCTTTTTGGTTGGATTGGGTTTATTATGAATTTTAGTGCATGAACTTTAAAAGAACCAAAGCATGTGCGCCAACCTCTCACAGTGATTCCAAGCCACTTCTATTTGATGAAAATCCAAACGAGTAACACTAGATTTTAATTATAAGTTTTGTTATAACCGTATGATCTACTCTAAAATGGTCATCCCTTTTACGATATTATGTGACAAGACAAGTCCATCTTTGAATCTTGTTGTCACGCTTCTATAAAGATTTTTACATATATGTTTATAGCAAATACGACGTGATCGCTAGTAGTTAGAAATTGATAAATTAATTATTGTGAGAGTTTTGTCTCGTAAAAAAGGTCTATTCAGTTTGAGTTCAGACCAAATGAAAAAATAATTTCAAACAGCATATGCGTAATATGCCAAAAAAAAAAAGTGGTTTAAGCTTAATGGTGTAAGAGAAAGAAAATCGATAAACAGTTTATTTTCTGTATCACATATCTAACACTTGCTAAAAAAAAATTATTGAAGCTTTCATTTATGCAACACTTTAAAATGTTTACGCGTAATCAAATTTCCCCTTTCATCAAATCACTATTTGTAAAGATATCAATAATGCAGGTTAGCAGTGTAAATCTATGATTAGATTGCTCAAATCTAGCTGAAAAGCACCAACGCAAACAGTTAATTTAGGATTGACAACTCCAAAACAATAACGAAGGAAAAATGCACTTCCACACTTGAGGATTAGCATTTTCTATATTTTATTTATGTTGTGCTGTGGGCTAAAAAGAAAAAAACAAAAGTTCGGCCCATGCTTGAACTATGGGCTGATAAATATAGATCAGTAAAAGGAGACACATTTGACCCAGTAACATGTTAAGGCCTGCAGGTTTTAAACTATCTTTTCCCTTATAAGGAGACATTTTGATCAGGACAAATCACATAAGATAAAATCAGTTTTGTAACCTTTTCGGTCGGTAACCTTTTCATTGATGATTTTTCGTAAACTTCCACTCCAATATTGGAGACAAGCTTGTTGTTCGAAATCTTCTTATCCTTCCAACATTCTAAAACTCAAATTTGGTGATCGCTATTTTTCAATTTCTAAATGGAGAATCCAATTAGCAAATCAAATTTGGTGCAAATTGAAGGTAGATCTCCCGATCGGCAAAGCCAGCTGAAAAGAATCACCAGCAAGCTGGGGATGATCATCACTAGCATGATGACATTGATCATTGTTGGGGATTTATCCAGAGGAAAAAATCTGACATGGAGCCCAATAAATAAGATAAGACTCATTTGAACTCAATTCCGACATGGAGCCCAATAAGTAAGATAAGACCCATCTGAACTCAAAAGCTCAAGCTAATGGGTTCTGAAACCACTTTACTTATTAACTCATTCACATATCCTCATACTTCCGATGTGGGATTCATAATCCTTGCCACATGACCCTCAACATTCTCCCCCATCATGGGCAATCTCCACATCGGACTTTCACATGTCCTCATACTTCCGATGTGGGATTCATAATCCTTACCACATGACCCTCAATATTCTACCCCGTCATGGACAATCTCCACATCGGACTTCTAAATTATCTTGACAAGCCCAAATCTGTACTCCACCTGAGTAACTGGCCCGCCCATCCCTACGCTTCCACTCGTAGTGGGCCTTTGACTGTCTGGGTTCAGTCAGATCAACCGAGATAATTTGGGTTAAATCACCCACTCACTTGGCCCAACCTGGAATCTGATACTACTGTTGGGGATTTATCCGGAGGAGAAAACCCGACATGGAGCCCAATAAGTAAGATAAGACCCATCTGAACTCAAAAGCTCAAACTAATGGGTTCTGAGACCACCCTACTTATTAACTAATTCACATGTCCTCATACCTCCGATGTGGGATTCATAATCCTTGCCACATGACCCTCAACAATCATTTACTTGAGACCCTCCCAAGGGAGTTTAGCATGAATTGGCGTTGGTTTTACATGGAGATGGATTTTGGTGCCTTCCAAAGTCTTCTTCGTCCTCTGATATTATTCCAGAGATATTACAACTTCAATGACAATGACATTGTCTAAGCAACCATGCCGAAATCAGGCACAACATGGTTGAAAGCTCTGGTCTTTGGCATTGTTTACCACGACAGAGTAATCCTCATGAACTCGTGCCTTTTGAGTTTCAGCTTGCTGAGCTGGGGAATTGCGATGAGACTCATTACCAATTCACCATCATGTTTAAGCAACTCGCATGCCGTACAATTCACTTCCTGATTCCATTTCCAGCTTCAAATGTAAGATTGTCTATCTTTGTAGAAACCCTTTGGATCAATTAGTATCAGATTGGCATTTTCATCGATTGGGACATAAAGAAGGATGTTGTAATGGAGCATACTCTGGGTTTATTCTTGAGGGAAAACAGACTTTCGGGCCCTTTTGGGACCAAATACAGGTTTATTGGAACGCAAGCTTGGAATTCCCTGAAAAAGTGGGTTGTTCCTCAAATATGAGGATCTTAAGAAGGATTGCCATTCAGGAGTGAAGAATTCTTACAAATGCCTTTCACAGAGGAGGCAGAGAAAAATGGGTTAGTTGAAGAAATTGTGAAGCTCTGTAGCTTTGACAGTCTTAGTAACCTGGAGGTTAATAAGCCTGGAAAAAGGAATGCTAACTTACGACTGAATAACAATGCTTATTTCAGAAAAGGAGAAGTCGGTGATTGGATCAATGACTTGAACCCGACAGCAGCTAGTCGTGTTGCAAGCCTAATGAAGGAAAAGATTGGTGAACCCGACAGCAGCTACTCTGTTGTTCCAAACTCATGCTTTTGTTGTTCTCTTTTCTAATGAAACTTTTAATTTCACGAACTCTCAAGAATATCCTCAAATAGCAAAAAATATCAGAAGGTACCAAAAGAAGCACAACTTACATCCAATATTTGAAAAGAAGTCTGTTGATCCACTAAAGAAACTACTTTAGCAACCTGAAGAACAATAAAGGAGAATACTATTAGTACCATTCGATCCCTAACTCCAGATTGCGACTTCAGAATGGCCGTCCTCTGTTGCACAAGCTCTGAACATGCCAGTAGTATTGTAAGGCATGGTAACTTCTCCTGTGGCTGATACAGCAACCAATCCAGCAGTACCCTTGGGTGCACACTCCTCAATAACATAAGCTGCTGCATCCTTTAGTGACATTCCTTTGTATTCCATTAGCGCGGCGACATCTCTACCCACAGTAGCCCGTATAATGGATTCACCTTTGCCAGTAGCAGAAACTGCACACAGATGGTTGGCATATGTTCCAGCACCAACAACAGGTGTATCCCCAATTCTACCGACCATTTTGTTGACCAATCCACCAGTGGAAGTAGCAGTGGCTAAGTTCCCATTAATATCGACAGCAACACATCCAACAGTTCCAATTCTACTATCACCATCTGACGTTCCATTTGGAATTTTTTGCATAGGTTGTGTATAATCAATCTAAAAAATTGCGGAAACACGAGAAGTACTTCAATAAAGTTTTTAAAAAAATCAAGAAGAACATAATTAGGCTGACTACTCTATGTAATCCCACCGTACCTGAACCCTGTTAGCTTCTTTTGCCTGTTTCAGTCTCTCGATGTTTTCTGGGGTGATGAAATGGCTGGCATCCAGAGTATCAACACCCTACCAATGCAAATGGAATTCTTCAAATTAATCAAGAAAACAACAAAGAGAAAGGATGAGGAAAACACAAGAAATGATCATCTCATAGCTTTCTTTACAATAAGAATTTTAACTAAATCTGCAAGGAAATAACTGCAAAACACAAGATACCAGAAAGAAAAAATGTCAAGAGCAGAGTATAGAGAACATTACACTAGATAAGTAACAAGAAATATTCACCCTGAAGCATAAATTGACTCAGTAATAAGGGAAAGGTTAAGCACCAATTCACCAGTCATTTGAAAAAGCAATCCAATCAACTGACCAAATTAGCAACTAGTTTGACTGTATCTAGTGGGCATAAGAGGTGAAATCTTCTAGTGGCGGAAACAGAAAATTGAAAACTGAGCAGAATATCTTTGATGAGAGACCACTGTGTTTCAGGATGCCAATTAAAGCAGAGAACATGTTGAGAGTTGCATGTACCTGTTCTCTTGCAAATGCCTCGGCACCATCAAATGCCAGGTAAATGTGGGGAGTTTTCTCCATGACCAATCTTGCTAGAGATATGGGATTGACAACTGTGGTAAGACCAGATACAGCTCCGCATCTTTTTGTACCATCCATTATACAAGCTTCCATCTCAACAGTGCCATTCGTTGTTAGTACAGACCCTCTACCAGCATTAAAGTGTGGGCTATCCTCCAGTTCACGAACCTATATTCAAGATGAATGCACGTTGCTCAGACACCATAACAACTATAGACAAAAGATTATGAACCAATCATTCACAATGAAATACTTTAAAGGCTCAAAATGATGAATTTGATCTTCTTCAACTGACAATAATCACACTTTACAAGAAGATTTGAACAAAAATTGGTGCAATACATGCTTGGGTTCAAATTTCGAAGACAAGTGAATGCTACTTCAGGAAAAAATACATCAGACATGAAGTTGCAATAGTTGAACAAAATATTGCACCACTACAGCTACAAAGATTGCAAGAAAAATGGCCCAACTTTAAACAAATACTAGATAACATATCGAACAATCCATTTACTAAATTAAAACATCTAGAGAACAATGAAAAAAAATCTAACATATGGCATCTGAAGATAATTCTTCATTTCCTCTGCATATAAGAACACCACCAAAATCCAAATAGTCCTACAAACTGAAAAGCAAGGACAGGACCGCTGAGCTAAATAAATTGATCCCATATAAGCTACTTGTAATTTCTCAAAAACACTAATTTCAACATGTAAGGAAAAAAAAAATTAGTGGGCACCCCTGATCAGAAAAAATAGAAGGAGAAACGAATAATCTGAAGTCATTTCGAGTTATGGACGAAAGGGTTCATACCACGAGTTCAACAACATCCAAAGGGGATTTTCCGGCTTTAAGAGCAGCGCCGCCGATGTCTAAGCAGTGGCGAAGGGCGGCTTCTCGGGGTTCACGTCGTTCTGGGGCTAAATTCCTGGGTATGTCACCGGCACCGCCGTGCAATGCTATAGCCCACCCCATTTCCACAGCCGGGTCTTCTTTCCCAGAAATCACGCTCTTTTTGGTGTCTAACAACTCCGGCGGTTTCAGTGGGGAAGTGACTCAGTGACCATTAATTGAGAGGGAAAAAGGAAGCCCGTCCTAGAAGTCTTACGTTTTTGTCCGGACGTGAGAGAGAGAGTTGCTGGAGATTCTTCGATTCTGAAGATTCTGACATGGCTGTTTGTTAGGGATTTTTTTTTTTTTTTTTGGTTATAATATTTCCACCCTCCGAAATAATTGTAATACAATTTAAATTAAAATTAAAAATTAAAACCAAATAATTAACACTCCCTGTAGTCCTTATTAATAAGCATTTCCAATTTTGTAAAAATAACACCCTAAAAGTATTTTGTATTAATATGGAGAACACAAATACAAAATGTGAATTTAATTACAAGAACGTAATAGATGAAATTTTAGGACTAATTAAAATATTCTATAATAAAGATCAGAGGGAATACTATTACCATAGTCTATGTTTTAATAATTTGTAAATGAATCCAAAATTTTGAGAGTATACATATTCCTTTTTTCCATCCAAGTATAGATATTCAAAAAATAATTGTTCTATTCAATAGTGTATCCATTTAGACTGATGGAAAAATAAAGTCTATCTTTCTATTTCTTTGTATCATTAGAACATCAATAATGGTTTATACCATTATAGATGTAATGCAATTATTATATTATCATTTTATGTTATTACACTTTATTTTACTTTTTTCTATAATTGTTTACTCTATAAAATTGTAATAAAATGAAATATGACAACCTTCATTAAATTATATTGTGATTCACAAAACTAAATATACATAATATAAGAAATATTCTTACACTATTGAATACTGTCATACGCTACGTAATAGTAAAGAGTTAATTAATTAGTAATTAACTTATTACTTACCAAAGATGCTCTTAACAAACAATCCATGTGTGTTTCTTTTCTTTTGTCACACAACTTCACCCCTCATGATAAATACTTAACTCTTTCCTAATTTTTCAAGAACTTTTTTCTTAACACTAACTTCGTTTATTTTTATCTGTTGTTTTAGGGTTCAAACAATTATTCAAGAAACAATAATTGAGACTTTAATTTTTAAGTGTATTGTCTTTCTTACCTCTAATTTAAAGCATTCAAGCATAACAAAAATTTAAAATTGGAGTGTAAAAAATAGATAATTTTTATTAATATATGTTATTAAAAGTAAGAAAAGATTAGAGTGAAATTGAAAAAAATATATTTAATACTGTATTGAAAATGAAGTAAGACAGCTAAAAAAAATAGATTTATCTTAAAATGACAAATAAAATAAATATAGGTAAAAGATAATGTATCCTATATTATATTTTGCAACTTGTCACTTTTAGTTTAGGGTCGTGCTGTTGAGCGCCCTAATTTTTTCATTTGAACGCCCGAAAAAGACATACATGCCCCTATAAAATAGAGTTGATTTACAAAAAAAAAAAGTTTGGCGAGGGAGAAATGAGCCACCCCTTTAAGGGGTGGCGAGAAAACCTTCGCCATGCGGCGAAGGTGTGGCGCCCTTCTGGGCGCCACATTGGTGCTGGTTGGCGAGCTTTTTGCTCGCCAACCAAAGGGTGGGTGGCGCCATTTTGTGCGCCACCCACCTTAATTACTTTTTTTTTTATAATTTTTTATTTTTATTTTATTTATTTAATTATCTTTAATTTAATTATTTTTAATGTATTTAATTAATTTCTTTTATTTATTAGCTTAATGAATTTATTTAATTCATGTATGTTCTTAATTTATTTATTTATTAAAGTTTATTTATTTGTTTGGTGGTTAAACAAATAATTTTAACTTAAATATTTAGAGAATGTTGCTTAATTATGTAGTAAATTTTATAAAAATTTATCATTTAGTTATGTAAAATTTTTAAACTTAAACAAAAAATTATTATTTAATAAAAACTAAAATTTATGAATTTACTACCAAACAAATTAATTATTCATCATCGGTGCATCTAGCCGTCCTGAGAATATTTTTTTGAAAAAAAAATATAAAATTTAAAATACGTTGAAACGAAAAATTAAAAAGATTGAAAAAAATATAAAATAATTTTATTTATTTTTTTAATATTTTTTAACTGCCAAATAGATAAATAAAAAATAAACTTAAATAAATAAATAAATAAAATAAATAATTAAATAAATAAATTAAAAAAAGAAAAGAAAAAGTAAATTCGGTTTGGCGAGCAAAACGCTCGCCAAACCGAAGGGGGTGGCGCCAGATTTTTGCGCCACCCCCATTTTGGGGGTAAAGCTTCCTCTCGCCTCCCTTAATTGGGAGGCGAGAAATTGTGCGCCACCCTTTAAAGGGTGGCGCATTTCTTCTGCGCCAGCCGTGAAAGGCTGGCGCAGTGCTCCATCGCTACACCCTTTTTTTTTAAAAAAAAATATGAATTCAGGGGTAAAATAGTCTTTTTGAGGTTTTTTAGGGCGTTCAAATGAAAAAATTAGGGCGTTTAGTAGCCTCCCAGTTAGTTTAATCGCACACTTGGGATTTAGTTATTGGATTCTGTGATAGATAATCTATTTTTATAGATGCGCTTGTATGTTAGTGCTCAATTTTTTTCAGCTCCCCAGAAGCATGGCTCAATTAAAAAGCTGCTTTTTTTTTTTTTTTTGATATTTTGAATGCAATAAGTTAGTAGAATGGAGCGTGTAATCAATTGATACTCCCTCATCTCAAATGAAAGTCCCTTTTTTCATCATTCTAGTCATCAAAATGATTTATTATTATTATTATTTTTAATGGATGTACGATGTTTTGACTTCAAAAGATAAAAAGACGTTTTGCCATTAAAAGATAGTAAATCATCAATAATTCAATGAGTGCATTTAAAAAATTACAATGGCTAAATGTACCTCCTGATGATGTCAAAACATGGCTTCAAAATGATATCCTTGGTTTCTTACCAATGTGCTCTAATAACTTAGAACTTTAGGCATTTGCCTCCTTCATTGTAAAATAAAAATAAATATTAGAATAATTTACGTTGAAATATCCTCAAGTTTGCGAAATTATCAAACTTGCTATAATCTTAGAAACTTATTGAGAACCCCCGTCTTAAATCAGGAAAACAAAGAAGGGTGCGAAATTGCTCAAGCGAAAAAAGTTCAGTAGTAGTCCTAATTCCTGCAAAATTGCGAGTCCTCCCAAGTTAGAGGATTTAAATCAACCTGGAACTTCACCAGCACCCGATTTTTCAGACTCTATAACTGCCTGCAAGAACATTGAATACTTGATTGTACAGAGAAATTCTGATAAATCAAGTGCTAGGAACTTAGCAATGAGTCTCAAGAAATACCTTAATGATCATAATTGCGGCATTTTTGTGTAAGACCTCATTGTACTCTCCACAGGTGAGGCTCTGCGACATGCCAAAGCAACCCATGTCATTCCTTTGAAGAGTAATTGCAGAAAAGTGAATCGAATAATAAGCTTGAATCTTACTTGTACACATTTAGGACATCCAGCATCTCCAAGGCATACACACGAAGTGAGAAGTTCCAAGGCAGCCGTTAACAGCTCGGTGAAAAGTGGTTGAACCTGCAAGAGTTTTATTAGAGACAAAATACATGCATCAATGTCATGCAGTTACCAAAAAGATATAGACAACTGACACGAATTCCATGACATTTGACTCATTGCCACTTAGCTTTTAGTCTGAAAACCAACCCAAGTGCTCAACTATGGTGTAAGAGCTTCGCAATTGGGTTGATTTTTGCATGAACCAAATAAATACATGAGTTGGGTTTGGCTTTTCAGTATTTTCAGAAAGTCAGTGCTCAATTCAGCTTCAACGTTGACTATAATGCTAATCTAGATTCTCATTTAAGCTTGATGCTCACTCAGTATCTAGCATCAGGTATGGAGTTTAGTCTTTCTATCTTGCTAATATCAAGTTCAAGTTGAGTCACATCTGACAGTAGTGATAGAAAGGATGTCCCCCATTGACTACACATGGAGTTTGGAACTACCAAAGATCTAGGAGATTGCGACCACTCAATCCACTACCAATCGACTTTAGGTTGGATGCATGGATCAACTAGTGAATTATGATGAAAGAGATAACAAGAGATTACATAATGTTGGAGCACAAGCATGTCTTCAACTGAGACGTCCACAGACACACTTGTGACTGACTTGAGAAAGGAAGATGCAAGTTCCTCAAGGAATAACTCCTACAGACCTTAATGGTCACTTCCTAAGGCCAAGTTGAATCATGCAAAACTAGGAAACAGAAGATGCTAGGAACTTTGCTGAAATACACTTGAAAACAAAAAGGAAAGGGAATAATAAAAACAACAAATAAAATTCCTATGTCTAAAGAATTGCTGTGGAATAACTTATTTCAGATATTTGACTTGAATCTTTCTTCTTTGGACCCTACTAAGTTAAAACACGTTGCATTCTCCCTGTAGTCTTGCTTGTCTCAATCGCCCAACACATTCTGCCAAAATGATTATCCGGTTTGCATTTTCATTTTTAGTACATTATACTAAAAATGAAAATCCAAACTGGACAATCATTTCGGGACATGCAAGACTATACAATGGTATAAATTAAGAAAGCTGAGGAATATAACCTGTGCTGAAATACCAGTCCCACCAGGGCGTGGATCATAGAGTAGGATTCTTTCAGGAGCATAGCGAGCATCATGAGGGTTTACACACTCTGAAGCCAAGTCTGATGGGTTGCATATTATATATCTGTGAGTCATACCATTGGAGTGTCAGATAAGAAAACTTAGATAGCAAGAAAACAAAACGCAGGATAAACTCTGACCATTTCTATTCTGTACTTCAAAGTAACAAAAACAAAGTTTGGGCTAGATATTTCAGAAGGCTACTTACAATGGAATAACATTAAGTAGAGCATGACAAGCTGCATGTAATCCTCCTCGAAATGAGTAATTTAAAGTCTCCACAGCTAACTTGACTGACTCGGGAACCCGAATCCAAACAGCCTGCACCAAAGTTAAAAAGCTTTAAAACAAAAGGAAGGGAACGCCACAACCAAAATATCAAAAGATCTCCAAACAGAGGGGAGAAAAAAAAAAGAATAAAAAGAATCAATGAATGAAACTATCACCCTAAAAGTCCTCGCAAATTTATATATATCTACCTGTGACTCGTACGAATAATCAGGCAGGGACAGTTCAACGGTATCAAAAACCTGGTTGCTTCCTCTCCATATACGCCGGAAACCAAACCAAGTTGTTGTTACTTTGCAAGCACTAACTTGGGCAGAAGTTCTTGGAAAAGTTGAAGAAATTATTTTGGCAACATAGGCCTACAGAGGTCAGATTAGCAGAGTTAAGTACATGCCACTATACCTTCAAACCAAGATTAAAACACAAAAGGGGTGAGATTTCTTTCCATGAACACAACAGTAGTTTTCTTTACTAATCTCTTCATAACTAATGAAAACTTACAAAGCTCAGCAAAGCTCAGAACAACAGCACAATGAATGATGAAATCTTACGAAGCTCAGCAAAGATGAGAACTACAGCATAATGACAATGGAATCAACAGCATCGAACACAGTCTTTTCTATTTCCAATTGATCCTTTAGAACTAAGAACAGGATGATAAATGTTAAACCCTCAACCGGATTGTTTCAAGACTTGAACATTAAAAAAGATGCATGACAGGGTGGTTCTTGAGCAAGGAAAACTTCTTTGATTCACTCATCATAAGGGAGAGGCATCTGGATAGAATTAAAACTGAACGGAATGCAACATACAGTCTGACCACCAATGACATGAATGTCCGTGTAATCACGTGTTTTGGTGTAATACTTCAGATCTGCCTGTTGGCACCAAGCAATTTTACTTGATAAATCCAAGTCTTTTACGAGATATGTTTTCCCTTGATTCATATAAACAGCACCATCATACACCTGCACAAATTATCAATTTATAACACAGCAGGAGTTGCAAAGGTGGCAAAGAAACTGGTATTCATCTTGCATGCAAGTAGCAACTACATATTAAGTACTAGAGTGCCTTTTCTTAAGGAAAGTAAATGCTAACCTGGAAAAATGCCCTGCTTTCTTCAATTTCCTCAAGGACTTCATTCTTTTGCACGTCAATTACTCTGTACTTCTCAGTTTCTATTGCCCGAATACTAACATTTCTTGATGGTGCTTTCTAGGAGAAAGAAAGTGAATGTAAAAGATGTTTTAAAACCCATAATACACATCTGTCAAAAAGCACATGAAATATACTTCTTCCATCAAATAACGATAAGAGTAGAGGCATGGAGTTCGGTGGCACCTCGTGTCCAATGTAGTTCCAAATTCTAGCAGAAGATTCTCGAGAAGGATCAGTAGCCAGTAATCCTTTGTTTCTAAGAGCAAAAATGGCACTCTCTAATCCAGGTCCAAAAGAATTTTCGTCAAAGATCAAACTCAAAGGATGTTCTGCAGCAGCACACATCAGCTGCTGTTCAAGAACCTGAGGAGATGAGGAAATCCAGACATTAAAAATGATATAGAATCAAAGCCAATTAACCACGAAAAACGATAATAGCAATAATACAAAAGAGAACCTGCTTATTTTTTGCATCAATGTGACAACACTCTATCGGGCTGCGGAAAAGTTTGTTAGGAAACTTCATGAAATACTGATCCAAAGGCCCATCAAATGCAACATATACGGCAAGTGATGGCTTTCCCCTCCGACCAGACCTTCCAGCTTGTTGCCAGAGACTGTAAAACACAGAACAAGGTAGCAATGAAGAGAAGAAAAGAAAAAGCTACAACAACCAACAAAAATGTTATGTAGCCATACCTCGCTATACTTCCAGGAAAACCCAAATGTAGGGTCACATCAATGTGTCCAACATCAATTCCCAACTCAAGTGCATTCGTTGCAGCGATACCACAAACACAACCGCTGAAAAAGTCACTTTCAATCCGTCTTCTATCCTGCTCCAAAAAGTAGAATGATCATCATTGAATGAAATACCTAATCAATAGTTGTTCCCCGGGTTAAATCACTCAATCGCATCTGGCACATAACATATATGTACCGTAATTCCTCAAGAACCAAGTTCATTGTGTCAAAGTGTAGTTCCACTTCAGTAGTCCTAAAGGTGAACTAAAAGATAGTGGGCCCGACTGGTAACTGACAGTTTTCTTTCAATGATTCAGCAAAGTAGAGAGAAAATCAGAAACAAACCTCAGCTGTGTAGCCACCACGATAACCGCAGATAGAATCAACAAGGTGCGGAGCTGCATCTTGAAGAATCTCACGCCTTGCCATAGCAACAATGACAAAAAAAAAAATAAAAAATCAGCTAATAAACTAAGATAATATAACAATTAAGCCAAAGGATTGTACATACGTGTAAAACAGAACAAGTTCGCAAAGTTTTCGTGATTTGCAGAAAGCAATACATCGAAGCCTGTGCTGTACCATTTCAGCAAAGAGTAGTGAAATCTCCATAATTGGACTGCAAAAGAGAACGCACTTTATAGACCTACAAACATTTAATACCTGATAAAATAACCAAACTTGGGACTGTGGTTCTAGTACAGACATAGATGAATGACTCTGGAGGAGGGGGAAAAAGAGAAAAAGGGGAAATGCAGCAATCCATTTTACATTATTAAACACACTAATCTTCAATCATCCTTCATATCTCTCCACAAGAGTGCCATAGTAAATTGTCCTCTCCACACTAATTTTCAATCATCCATCATATGTCTCCACAAGAGGGCCATAGTAAATTGTCCTCTCCAGACCGTCTGACATCTTTTAATATTCATAGAGTTGAAAGGATAATTAAGTTGCTTCGACTTATTGCTCCTTGTTCCTTACTACAAATACTTGAAGATAATTTTCAAAGCTCACATGGTGAATTCAAACCTTGTACCCTGAGATCCAGAAAGTTTTGGATATGAATTGTCGGAGAATATTGAAAGCTTTTTGAGTTAACCAATAAACCACAAGCAACCTTTCCTTGACATTCATATCTCAAAATTAAGCATAAATGTCGGAGTATATGATATAGCATGAAAAAACTCATCTATCACAATAGAAGAAAGAACAGTGACCTTGAACGTTTCGTCCCCACATCTCTACTAGAAGATGACTTTGATTTCTTGTCACCCATCATCTGTCTCCAGTCCTGCTATGACAAAAGGTGAGATTTAGGAAAACCTAAACACAAAGAAGTTCATCAAGTAAAATGAATACAATTAAGGATTTCTCACACATAAAGGAGGATTCCAGAGCATAAAAAGCTTCAGTGCTGAGGGACTACCATCTTCGTCAATCAACTCTATCTCCTTTAAATTTGCAAGTTCCTATGATCCACAAGATAAACATGATGTCAAGCTTGCTAGTCAAATGTGGACGTTATCTTTTGTTCTTAGGATGTAATATCTCTCGCAAAAATAATATATTTTACGATCGTGAAAAACCAGGGGAATTGATCCAACTCGAATAATTTCTCGAAGTCAGAAGATGAAGGTTTTGATACCCTGTTTCTCACAAGATATTCAATTGCTAATATTCAATCTACTTTTACATTCGTAAAATAAACTTAAGGGATCAAAACTCTCAAAAGAAATTGAAAGCAAAAGTATCCTTGGAAAAAATAATTACCATGGCATGATCTCCAGGATTAGCCGAAGTAGCAGTAGAAAATACAAACAACGGATCACTGCCATAGACTGCATAAGTACATTCGCCAAGGTAAACTTTTTGCATAAAAGAGAGAGTACTTGGAAGATTATCTCTCAAAAAAATTAGGGGGCAAAAATATACGGTGAAAGATACCATGAGAGCAGATTCGACGAAGCCGTCTAATAATCAGGGCAGCATGGCTTCCAAATGCCCCCTTATAGGCATGAGCTTCATCAAGGATAACAAACCTGAATAAAAATGCAACTTCAAATAAATTACTATGAACATATAGAAAACTTATAAAACTAATCACCGCAAGGGAAAGGCAAAAGGAAAAAAACGTACCTAAGATTTGACAAGAAACGACTGAATTGTCCATGTGAAGGCAATACTGAGACATGCAACATATCTGGATTTGTGATTAACTGCATATTTTTTTACAAAGTTCAACAAGGAAAGAGCAACGGATGATTAAAATAACACATGAAGACAGCAAAAGATTACTCTTACCACTCTAGCATTGTCGCGTAGCCATAATCTATCCACCTGAGGGGTATCACCATCATATATTCCAATTTTCAGGCTCTCCTCAAACCCATTTGTCATTATCAGCAGGGTTCTTAGTTGATCTTGAGCTAGAGCCTGCAAAGGCAACCACTTGATCCTGTAAAGATGGCCTTACACATCAATTCATCACTAAAGTACAGTTATCATAAGCCGTGTCACAAGAAAAGGACCCGAAAAATCGGAGAAAACAACCTTAGTAGGGAAAAGGTACAGTGCACATGCCAACAAATTACGTGACAGTACTTCAAGGACGGGTACGTTGTAGCAAAGAGATTTTCCACTGGAAGTCATGGTTGCAACAACTACATGTTTTCCAGCAAGCGAAGCCTGAATGGCCTGGGCCTGTGGAAAAAATCACATTCTATCAGCTAATAAGCTCGTAGAATGAAGAAAAACACAGCACGACCCACACCTGGTGACTGTACAATCTAGTAATTCCAATGCGTTTGAGTGCTGAAGTTGTGCTTTCTGAAAGTTCACTCGGAATTTCAACACAATTTCCATGCCGGGCCTGGATTTCTTCAACATGAACTATCTGAACCAGAAAGGTATAACTCAACCATAATATACAAATAAGAGTCACAAAATACAAAAAGAAAAACAAAGAATGAGGCATAAAAGACCCAGCCAATATGCTATCTATAATCAGGGGAAGTTCAAAAGAATGAAGCATAAAAGACCTGTCCATAAGATCCAAGGCCATGCTTTAAATGTTCCACCATTTCCTCAGGAAGCAAGGGGTTAGTGTCCTGCAAAGTTAAAAGGAAAAAAAACTGATAATGTTCTTAACTGAAACATGCTGGAAATTTGCACCTCAAATATAAATGCCCATAATAGCTAGAACAAGTGAGGAAAAAGAAGCAAGGGAAAAAGATCGTTAGAATTGGAAAAACCAAAAAAGTAACTTTTAAGCTACACTAGGATCCAAAAAAGGATCTTGATGCATGAAAATCCCACCTCAACTACAATTACAAAAGTTGAAACATTTGGTGACTCAATTAGACAATTTGAACACTGACCATCACAATGAACCAATCAATAAATCAAATCAAACTATCTCCTCAATGAGAGACACCCTCCTTTATCTCTTTCTTCTTTTAAAATGTAAGATTTTACAATGATACCATCAACTCTCCGAAAGCCTTACAATCTAAACTATCTCATTTGTAACAACTAGAAAGTAGGGTACACTAAATGGAGATGAATTTGGATCATCAGTACCCACTAGAACATTGCAATGTTATTCGAATCCAAGGTGCGATTCAAATTCCAAACCCTACATCATCTCAGTATATCTAGTCATACTTTCATCAACTGAATAATCACAAAACATACCTAGCAGAATCCAATTTCGCAGGAAAGCACTAATTCTACCCAATCAATATACTTCATCTTACTCGTCTCTCATATGCAACCCCACATTGTAGTTACATCGTAATAAATCACAACTCTAGGAAGAAATGCAGCTAATATTATTGGAATGATTGAAAAAATACGCAAAACCTACATTGCATTGCTGTTCAAATGAATTAGAATTTGACGATTGGTGGTTGTTTCTTCTTGACCTTTTCCCATCCCTTTTTTCTCGAGTTCCTGTAGCATCGTTTACAAAGCCACGAAGGTCTTCCAAGGAAAATAACTCCCCCCTATCATTTCCACGCTGCAGAAATCATCCAGTCAGTTGAGAGAAAGGACAGAAACCCTAAGGAAGACACATGCTTCATAAATTTGTTCATAACTAATTCTAAAGACAATTCTTGTTCATGACAACCTCAAGCACAGATAATCATGAAGAACAAACAATTTTAAGTAAATGAAAGAATGGACCACTTGACTTTTGGCATTCAATCTTGCAGAGATAGTTTTGGCGAGAAAAGGGGCAAAAAGTTTATCCACGTCTCGATCTTCAAATGTTATCCCCCGAAAACTTCTACCATTAAATGAGAAAAACTTATTTTCGATTTTAAGTGATCAACTCTCCAGTCTTTCTTTTACGTAGGTGGCTTACCCAAACTCTTGTGGTCATAATTTTATGTGAATGAACAGAAAAAACTTTAAGTGCACAGCATATCCGTGAACAGAAACAAACTACCCACACCTGTAACTTCTTGACAGCTGCTGAAAGAACATCAACAAAAGCATCTCCCCTCTTCTTCATTTCATTAAGAATTTTGAAAAGATGGTCACGCTTTCTCGCTGTTCTGAGAGGAGATGAGAAACAAACAAAAAAAATTTGAATAGCTCAGAATGCAGTTTAGATGTAAAAAAGCAATCTACGAGGAAACAACATTACACGTAGGTCCATGCTGATCTTTCTTTTCGAGACAAGAACCATTCAGGATAGTGAGAGTATCACCCAAAACCGGCACTTCTGCTTCATCCTCAACAAGTTTTACAATCTGAAAGGAAAAATCATGTATAAGACTCCAATAAAACTGATATATTAACGTGCTTGTAGTTGTATCCCTCAAAAGAATAAATTAATCAACGCTGAGGCATCAGTTCCTTAAGAAGGATTACCTTAGGACAAAGAATAGCAAGTTGTTCAATGTCCGCAATACCAACTTCAAGTCCAAATTTTGAGAGCTGGTCCAGTGCTTTTCTCAGCATACTTAGAGTGACTTTCATCAGACACAGTTGACAAAATGCAGTGTACGTATTCAAGAAAGCAAATGCCTTCATGACTTTCTTCAACCACGGTGGACACATGCACAAACTATTCTTGCTTGTGCAGGGATACGCAACATTATCCGGGGAATTAGCTATCCTTAATATGCAGTTGGAAGTTTTTTGATCAGCTAAACAGTTTACAGAGTCCAAAATCTGCAAAAATATTTTCCAGCCATTGTCGTCAAGGGTATCAGTATGGGATGATTGTAGTAAATCAACCACAAGGTCCTGGTTCTTGTCATCAGTGACGGTGGACCTCCTCCTTCGTTTAACTGGCGAATAGTAATCTTCAGATGTTCTTTGACTTTGCTCACCCCCATTTTCCAATTCCACCTCAGACTGATGCTGATAACAGGAGAAGCTACTCAGCGTCGACAGGTCCTGCACTAAGTCAGAATATGTTGACTGAGCTACTTTTGATGGCAGACTGCTATTCGGGCTGGTAGAGGACCCCCCAGAATCATCAATCTTCTCACTATTCTGCCTCTCTTTTCTTGCAAACGGAACAAGAACTAGGAATTCCTCGGAGCCCAATGAAAAACTACTAATCTGTTTCTGCAAACTCAATTTTGTTCCCTGAACCATAAGTTTGGGGGAAATTAAATGCTGGACCATTCCATCTCAAATAATAAACTTAAATTCTACGAAAAGCAGCCTTTTACTTCACCACAGTCCCAAGAAGCAAATATCATCAAGGAAAAAGACATGCATCTGAGTGCAAATAATATCACTTGGCAAGTATAGGCAATGAACTTATGGTCAACATTTGGTACTTACGATTTGAAAATCAAAAATCGACATTGTCTTCCCAGTAGATAAACTGTAAAACTAAAACCATTTCAAACCATCATGTAAAACAGCACACAATCATCATCAGATATAAAAATTTGCGAAAAAAGCAACAAATTTTCCCACATAAATGGGGAAGAAAAAAGGATACAAATTCAGCCAACAGATAACAATGCTAAAATTTGGCAGAAGCAAGCAAAAGATTTGACCTTGAGGAATAGATGGAAATTTGGGGAAGTTGAAGCAGGAGGGAAAACGTGCTTGAGGAGTTGCTTGAGTTGTTGAATGGTGTTGTTTGGTTCAATTGATACAGAAACAGATTCCCCAGTTAAGCTCCTCACATGAACGTCTCTTTTGCCATTCCCATTATTTTTCTCCATTTTTTTTTTTTTAATTTTGTGCTTGGGAGAAATACAGAATTCCCAGTCAAAAGCAATCAGAGGTTTCCATTTTCTGAGGCGAAGATTCTTGGAAGATTTAATTTCATCAGCAGGAGGTCACACAAATATACCTAGGATTTGGCGGGGGAGAGAGAAAGGTCTCACGTGCATGACCCAGTCAAGTCACGTGATAGTTTTTCCGCAGCAGATCCATAAAACTTGTTACTACCAAAAAGAAAAACATAACAATTCATGATGACAACTCCAGTGGACCAAAAGGTCCAAAATAGAGATTTTTTTTAATTTTGGGCCCCCAATCAATTTGGAAGAGATTTTGATTTTTGACCCATCTATATATAATTTATATTGAGTTAATTTTATAAAACTAACTTTATGCCGGAGAAGAAAGATTTTTGGGGTTAATAAGGGGTTGGATTTATCCAGCCACCCAAATTAATACTTGAAACCATCAATTTTGAAGAATTTTCCTTTCGCCCCTGTCACTCGGACCGAATCAGGCAAGTCATTCAGTCCGATTCACGTGAGAACGGGCAAATTATTATAATATAAACTCTCGATTTTATATTTACTTGAAAATAAACAAGTAATTAATTTTTACTTGAAAATAAATTTAAGATTATTTGTTAAGTTAATTTATTTGAATTGATATTAAAATATAAATTTTGCTTTAATCATTATTTGAAAGATAATTTTTAGTTAAAATAATAATTATATATTTATAATGAAAAATAATAATTGTACTACAAAGATTGTGACAAATATGTGCAAATAGATTAACTATTTTTTGTACTACAAAGATTGATGATACTTAATGTAACTCAAATATTAAATTATTAATAAATTTAATGACCTAAAAACTAGATTAATTAATTACAATAAAAAATCTAAAAATTAAAAATAGCAATAAATCCGATTGATATTTTTTAATTTTTAGACTTTTTTAAATAACAAATATTGCTATTTTTTAATTACAAAAAAATTAAAAAAAAACAAAAAATTAAAAAATTAAAAAAAAGGGCCTGACCGGTCCGGTTCACCATATCGGACCGAACCGGGACCGGCCGAGCAATCCAATCATCCCGGGTTAACCCGGGACAGGCAAAGAACGCGTCCTCTTGTTCGCCCGAACGGGTTTATTGCGCGTCCGGGGTTAAACCAGGACGCGTAATGAACGCGTTCGGACGAATAAGAGGACTCGTTCTTTGCCCGTCCTCGGTTAACCCGGAACGGGTGGACCGCTCGATCGGTCAAATTTTTTTTTTTATTTTCTTTCTAGTCAAATTATTTGATTTGAAAAAATTATAGGGGTAAAATGGTCCAATTTTAAAATATGTGGCTTCAAGTAGTAAAAGTAGTGGCTTTGAAAATAAACACCCTTAAATAATGGAGGTAGGAGGAATCATGAATTCTGAAATCAGTGGTGGAGGAGATGATAATTCATATTCACGATACGGTTGTCGCTTACAGGAACTCCCGGCCGATACGGTTGTCGTTGACCGGTACCTGGTAGATGATGGATACATGGATATGTCCCATATTTGGGATGATGGAGATGATGATCGACCCGAATAACAGAAGTACAAGAAAAAGAAGAAGAAGAAAAAGATGAAGAAGAAAACTAGTCTACCATCCTTCACGGCGGGCAAAGTGTATCCGCTTTTATTCTTGTTTTTTCCTTTTACTTCTTTTTTTATTTATTTAAAAAAAATTTAGGATTTTTATTCTCCTACGCTTAATTATTAGTTTTTGAAGAGGGTTTATTTGGTGAATTTATTTTTTTTTTCCGATGTGTGGTTTTTTAGTTTGAAGATGTATACTCTAAGGAAGAGACGAGAACCAAATTATCTACAGCGTGTCTGAAATCCTGGAGGTAAAAGCTAAGAAAATTCCGAATTAACGTGAGACATACTGATTCGGAATCGGTGGCCTAGTGCCTTTTTAATTTTATTGGTGCTTGTGACTATAATTGGGTTTTACATTAGCAATTATGTACTTTGTTTTGAGAATTTTTACTCTTTTTTTTTTGTTTTGTTTTGTTTTTTTTTTTATCTGGATTGCCTCTCCTTTATCTTAGGCTTGGTTTCCTTTTCATTTGTGAAGCCTCAAGATGTCACTATCCTGCAAATTCTTGTTATGTTGTCATTTTGTGCTTTTGCAATGCATTCAATGTACTGTGGATCGTTTCTAATCCTTACTCCCAAGAATTCCCCAGACACTTAGGTTAGAAGCAACAGAGACTAACATAAAAGATCTCATTTGCAACACATTGTACTTTATAAATTCCAAAGTTCTCTCCTCACTTTTTTGGGTTTTGCTTAAGCGGTTGTACTTTTATGTTGTTGATTGATCTTGTATGTTGGAGTATCTCCTCCATTGTCGATAGAAAATGAAATACTTATGAGAATGACTCGGATACAAGATAAATTTAGCAGTGCCTGCAACATTCTTGATTTTGAGGTATCATCCCTTCCTTCGTTTTATAAACTTCTACCAGCTCGACAATTCTGCTAAAATCTCAGCCTTTTTCGATCTCTCATTGTTTTACATCGATTCAATGCTAATTTTTTGTTTTTGAATTTCTTTTCGGGGCGGTGCCTAAATGTTGCAGAAGCTACAAATCCATCATAGCTTATAAAACCAAATCCATTGAAGGAGGAAAAACAAAACACAAAGGCACCCATAGAGAACCACCTAACCAGCTGATGGCTTGCCAGAACTCGATGTTTTGTACTGTTCAAGTACAAAGAGTGAGTTCGAACAGAAGATATTAAAACATCAGTGGTTTAAAAAGTACTCAATCCAGTTACATGTTATGAATATTACAGATGCAAAACTGTGCTATTGATAGGAGAATTTGATAATGATCACAGCCAGAAAAAGAACTATTAATTGTAAGACAGAAGAGCATAAGACTTTACCTTAGAAAGTAGCGGAACCACGGTATCATTTGCAGTTATATTATTTTCCTCCTGTGTAGTCTCATCTTTCAAAACTTTTCTTCCACGAATGAGCAACTGGTGACCACATGGATACTTATCCTTTCCTTGTACATCTTCAATCTTTTTTTTAACTGCCACAATCTAAGGGAAAGCACATAAATTAGTACTAGAATCATCCACCAGATGCATCTGAATGAAATCATAACTGGAATTTACTCGACTATTTCTCAACCAAACGCAAATCTTACTTATACCAACCAATGCATCTGAATGAAAACATAATTATAATTTATCCACATTTCTCAATCAAACGCAAATTGTAAGTATATCAACCATATGCAGCTACAGCCCAAAGAAGAAACGTACGTATATCAAATCTAATGAACTAACCGAAGCCCAAAAGAAACATGCGTATATTAAATCAAACATATACATGTTTTTCTCTCTCAAAAAAAAGAGAAAAACATACGTATAAAATCCCAAAGCTAGATCTATATGCACCTTGACGCAAAAACAAGCACCATATTCCAAAAAATTAAAGAAACAAAAGAAAAAAGCAGCAAAAAAAAAAAAACATGTCCCGTCTGTATGAACCCCCAAAAAAATCCAGAGCTCAATGTTAAAATCATATTTATGATGGTTAATTAGGAAGGAACTAACGGTATCGGAGGGTTGAACCCTGATTCGGAAAGAGCGAGGATCTTGTTTCAGAGTGTTCATGACAATATTTATATCCGCGGAATTTGAACAAATGAAGCGCTTATGGATTTGAATACTTTTTCTATCTCGATCGAAATATAGAATCTGATGAAAGACTCGACGAATTCTTATGTATAGTTTGAGAAATAAAACCGTAGATCTGAAATGATGGTGGGGGGAATTTTGGGAATGATCTCCGAGAGCGCCTACCAGAGAATAAAATCGAAAGTGTGCGCCAGGAAAATAGTAAAAGAGCAACTGTGCGTTTTGGGGTTGGCCTCGCTGAAATAATTGGGTTAGAAGGATCCAAATTCAATGACGAGATGGGACTGGTTGACACAATTATCGGCCTCTTAAAGCAAGAAGACTCTACTCCAACCTCTTCAACTGAATAACAGATAAATCCACGAAACTTTTTCAGCCCACATTTTAAAAAGTTATTTTATATTGTAAAAGAAATTTCGAAACAAGACCAATAGAGAAGAAAGCAATTGTTGTGAGATTGTGACTGTGTACTTTTCATTCCACTTTAACCTCTATTTACATTATTTACAATACATTACAATTACGTTTAATTTAATAATTTACTATAGTTGATTATTTCATAACTCACATAAATTAGATAAGAGTGGTAGTAATGAAATTTAATGCTTTAATATAACTACATGAGTATAGTAGTTAATATGTAAAACGCATCCACAATTAAATGCACTTCATAATGCTCCTTGGATGTCTGCTTACAGAATAATGCCTCGTTAAAATCTTTACTAAAAAAATTCATTGGGAAAAAATCACAGTCAAGGAAAAAGAGTACATTATCTGAATGTGACACTGCATCGAAAAAGCCTTGTTTAAAAAAATAAAAACCTTGGTCAAGGGAAAAAAGAGTACATTGTGTAATTACTCTCCCTGTTGAGCACATCACTTGACATCATGTAGTTGTCGCATTCCAATCTTGTGGACTAGTTTCTCAAATATTGAAGATAATAATGATTTAGTGGATAAGTCTCTACGAACTAAGGCCGCAATTCCAACACTTGCAGCTGGAATATCACATCGCGGAGGAAGCTTCTACACCAGAAGTTGATGGTGATCAGGAAGTCATGAATCCAGTACTGCAGTTGGTGTAAATACAGCATGTGCATTTGTAGATATTGTTGATGTGTAAATACTGATTTTCTAGTTTAGTTTGTACATATTACAGCTCATTAATGACTGCAAATTTACGGCAGTAATAATTGTAAATAAGTCGGTCAGCTTACAGTTATCAATAGCTAATAATTAGTTGACTTGTAAGTTAAGTATTCTATTACAGAATTAATGATTTATACTAAAACCTAG